TGGAGAGCCCCAGTCCCAGGTGCTGGCTAAACCACCTCAAACCAGAGACCGACTGGAGCCCAGAGGTTTGTGTCGGCAATAAACGTTGAACAGATAGTGGTAAGTACTGAAGTAGGTGAGCCCAGAGGTGTGAGGGCTGGGAAGAAGTAGTGCCCAGGGCTATGGGAATGTATAACAGCACCCAGCTGTGCCTGCCAGCTGGACTCTAAGAGTGATGGGAAGCTACTGAAGGGAAGTGGCATATTTAGATTTGTACTTTTTTTTTTTTTAAGGTCATCCTGACAGCGTGTTAGAAAATGAATTGGGGCTGTGCGTGCTGGCCCATGCCTGTAATCCCAGCACTTTAGGAGGCCAAGGTGGGAGGATCACTGAGGCCAGGAGTTCAAGATCAGCCTGGAGAACATAGCAAGACCTTGTCTCTACAAAAAAATTTCTTAAATTGCTGAGTATGGTGGCCTGTGCCTGTTAATCCTAGCTACTTGGGAGGCTGAGTCAAGAGGATTACTTGAGCTCAGGAGTTGGAGGTTACAGTGAGCCGTAATTGTGCCACTGTACTCTAACCTGGGTGACAGAGTGATTGTCTCTTAAAAAAATATGGAGGGGCGCGGTGGCTCACACCTGTAATCCTAGCCCTCTGGGAGGTCGAGGTGGGTGGATTGCCTCGACAATCCACCCGCCTCGGTCAGGAGTTTGAGACCAGCAAGAGTGAGACCCTGTCTCTACTATAAATATAAAGAAATTAATTGGCCAACTAATATATATAGAAAAAAAAATTAGCCAGGCATGGTGGTACATGCCTGTAGTCCCAGCTACTCAGGAGGCTGAGGCAGCAGGATCGCTTGAGCCAGGAGTTTGAGGTTGCTGTGAGCTAGGCTGACGCCACGGCACTCACTCTAGCCTGGGCAACAAAGCGAGACTGTCTCAAAAAAAAAAATGAATTGGAAACAGACAAGAGTTTAGACATACATTAAGAGGCTCTTTGCCAAATGTTTAGAGGCTTAAAAAAAAAAAAGAAAAAAAAAAAAAGAGGCTCTTTCTCATTCTTTTGATATGGGAAAAAAATAAAAAGAAGAAAGAAAAGTTAATAGAATAGAAATAAAAGAAAAAAAAAAGGAGGCTCTTCCAGTAGTTGAGAGGTGAGAGGTAATACTTGCCTGAAATAGGTACCTGGACTTTTGAGGAAAAGGAGGACTCAAGGGTTCCCCACAGCTTCTGGGTAGATAGAGGTGTCATCGCTGGGATAGAGGATACTGGAAGTAGAACAGTTCTGGGAATTTGGGGCATGTAGTGAGTTCTGTTGGGGACTCGTTCCACTTGTGATACCTGTGAGATGTTCCCTGAGGATGGTCAACAAGACATGTGGATGGGTGTGTCTGAGCACAGGAGAGATGTTGGAGTGGGCTCTCGGCAGGGGGCTGGCTGCCGGCCTTCAATGGGGCTCCCTCCTAAGGGGAGCGAGTCTGAAAGTGGGCTTTGGTCAGTGAGCTCTTACCGCACAACCAGTTTGACTGCCATGCTTCTCTTCCATGCTCAACTTTTAGAATTCTTAGACGTGTATTATATATTTTGAACCCTTTTCATAAGAACCAGTATAGTTCACTACTTTGAAGAATCATCTCTTTTTTCTTCTTGGCTGGCTTCATTAACTCCTTCCCTGTATGTCCTTGTGGTAGGAGGAAGCTGGGCAACTCATACTGTGGTACTGTCCATTTTCTCAGATTTGTGACCCAGAAGGAAATCTGTTGGTGCTGGCCAGAAGCCAACTTCATGTCTCAGTACATGAGCAGCAGTTTGCCATGGAGAGCTTGGGGCTGCAGACGGTGACCCTCAGTGATGGGACAACAGCCTACATCCAGCAAGCTGTCAAAGGTGAGTATTTTGGGGGAACCTCAGGATCCCTCCCTATATCTCAGCCTCTGGAAAGGAATGTCCCCATCAGAGAGTCTCATTACCACCCTTCCCGCCCACCCACCCCTGCCTACCACCACAGCTTGCTCTGCATCAGGATCTCCTGTGGTGCATGATGGAAAGGGAACTGGAAAATAAAATGCCATGTAGGCAAGCTGGAGAGTGAGACTTCCCCACCTGTGGGAGCCAAGACCCCTCAAAGGCAGAATTCCTTAACATGTAGTGAGTAGTTCATAAATATTTCTGCAGCGGATGAACACAGTGCTAGTTATGACTTCCTGCTTTTCAAATATTCCCCATCCAGTTCCTCAGTGCTTTCCAGAAGCAGTTCATAATCCTAATTCAAGCAAATTTAAGCACTCAAAACTATCTACTGAGCATCTACCATGTATAAAATATTCTTCTAGGTTCAAAGGGGGACACCCAAGCATGGATCTCATGCTTTAGTCCACACTAGGGGTTTCCAGAAATAAAAATACAGGGCACACAGTTAGATTTGAATTGCAGATAAACGACAACTACTTTTGTAGTATGGATATTTCCCAAATATTGCATGGGATAAAACATGTATAAACATGTGATTAAATACTAAAAAATACTTAACAGTAAGCACTAAAAAAAATATATCGTTTATCTGAAATTCAGATTTACCTGGGCATCCTGTATTTAATCTGGCAATCTTGTCCTCACCCTCAAGGAGCTTAAAATCGAGGTAGATGTGGAGTCAGAAGAGAGTGTTGTTGAGAGCAAGGCCTGCAGGCCAGGGACACTCCTCCTTTCTTGCCAGCATTCTCAGGCATGCCAGATGGCATTCTTATCTTCCTGGGCAAACACTGCCTCATTCCTACTCTTTGCTCAGCCTTTTCTAGAAGAGTCCATGAGTGTCACTGTTCTCATGACCACGTTGTCATTGTAACGTTGCCCTCCTTCATTTAAACACATTATCAGAATATATTTTCTATTTCCATTCCTAAGTTTACAGATAAGTTGTTTATTGATTTCATTTTAAATTGTCCCTTTCCTGATGATGACTAAAGAGGCCCCTTAATCTCATCAGTAAGCTCTTTCTATATGTCAGTGTGTGGGGGTGATTTCTGGAAAGATGTCTTGTCAAGAGCTATTTGTGATGTGTGGGTTCTTGCTGCCTTCATTCTCTTGAAAATGGAACTTCTCTAGAATACTTCTGAAGCCTAAAACCCTGTTGTCTGCAGACTTCCCCTACTGGTCTTCCCTCCTGGTGTAGTCTCACCAGAAGTACAGTGGGATGGGAGAACTTAGGAACTGCAGGTAGGCCTGTGTTTATACCTCGGACCCATTTAGTTGCCTGCCTCAGTCTTCCACTGCAAATTAACGGTTGCTTACAAAGCAAGTGACCACACTTGGCCTGAGAAAGTCCTCTTTTCTTATGTTTTCTTTCTTATGTCTAGGTCTCTTTGCCCCCCCACCTCCCCATGTATGTCTTTCTTTCCTCACTCTTCCTGGCTCTGATCTCTGCAGTGTTGCAGTGTGCACTTGTGCACGTGCACAAACACGCACACTTACGACAGAGTCCCCCTGCTCGGGGGAGAGAGTTGTCCTTCAGAGACCAGGACCACACTGTCCTTCCTGGTGGGCTCCTCTGAAGCACTTCCGTCTCTGTCAGCAGGCAGCTCTGTCTGGGCCCAGCTTAGCTAGCAGGAAGCCCTAAAATTCTATAAGACTTATCTGTGATTAGGATGAACATACAATATACGATTCAAACCCCACACTTTGAGAGTGAAAGACTGTGTTATTAGTAAACACACTGGAATGTGTGGTCACCGCTCTATAATGGGATACGAGGCCCCATCAGTCAGTTCTTCTCCCAGCCTGCCTCTGCCCATTGTAGTCTCTGGCCGTTAGAGGAAATAGTGGGTTAAAGTTTTTCCTCAGACAACTCTTCTCAACGTTTGTGTCCTGTCTTGAAGCAGTGCCCACTCTGCTACCAGTAGCTCTGCTGATGCTTTCAGAACCCCAAGTTCTGATGGCCTTGCCATTAGGCTACCATGTGGGTAGCCTAGGGCTCTCTCGGTGGGAGAGAAGAAAGTGGGTTCCTCTCCCCTCCTCTCTGCTGCCTTTATTCTTATCTTTGCTTCTACCTTACCTGCCTTCAGCTGGGTTGTAGGACTATTAGTTACTGACCCTAAGAAGACTCAGTTTTGGGATTCCCCAGAAGGAGAGATGTCAACAGAGACCTGGGCTGGAAGCCTGTTACCTGAAGCTTCTAAAGAAAGGGACAAAGATGCCGGGCGCGGTGGCTCACTCCTGTAATCCTAGCACTCTAGGAGGCTGAGGTGGGCGGATCGCTCAAGGTCAGGAGTTCGAAACCAGCCTGAGCAAGAGCGAGACCCCCGTCTCTACTATAAATAGAAAGAAATTAATTGGACAACTAATACATATAGAGAAAAAATTAGCCGGGCATGGTGGCGCATGCCTGTAGTCCCAGCTACTCAGGAGGCTGAGGCAGGAGGATCGCTTAAGCCCAGGAGTTTGAGGTTGCTGTGAGCTAGGCTGACGCCACGGCACTCACTCTAGCCTGGGCAACAGAGTGAGACTCTGTCTCAAAAAAAAAAAAAAGAAAAAGAAAGGGACAAAGAAATCACTTGTCACTAACTCTTCAATCTCTCTTTCTTTCTTCTCTTTCTCATTTCCTTCCTTCATTCTCTCTCTCAAATTCACCAGACACAGGGAGGGGACATCTAATTCCAAGAGCCTTTTAGAAGTGCTTTCCAATAAAATAAAAGAAGGATAATTTCCTAAGATATTTGGAATCTTGTTAATTTTTACATTGCTGTGGTGTTGCCTTAGGTGAGTCAATTTTTTATTAGAAAATTGAAAGGAAAATGTAAGAGCTCAATGAAGGAAACATTGCCCAACAGTGGCAGTGGAACAAGACCTATGTGGATACACAATAGTCCACATAACTCCTATTGCTTTACTTGCATTTCTTCTAAAATGCAGATTGGGGCCAGCTGCGATGGCTCATGCCTATAATCACAATGCTTTGGGAAGCTGAGGTGGGAGGATCACTTGAGGCCAGGAGTTCAAGACCAGCCTGGGCAACATAGAGAGACCCCATCTCTACAAAAAAAATTAAAACCAGCCAGTCATGGTGGCACACACATGTAGCCCAGCTACTCAGGAGGCTGTTAATGAGCTAAATAATCTCTAAAGTCACATAGCTGGTAAGAGGTAGAGCTGGAATTCAAACTCAGACATCTTGGCCTGGTTCCAGAGCCTGTTGCTTTTAACCACTGTGCTGTACTGCCTGCCTTCTCAGGGCTCCAGGTCTTGGCACACTGCCACAGTGAGACACTAGGGAATGTGTTTCGATTTTGTTAGTTTGAGTTATATCTGGATTTTGACCTACTGGGGCCTTTCTAGGTTTCAGGACAGCCTTTGTTCTCCATTTAGTTCCATCTCAGCAGCCTACTGTTAGGTTGGAAGCCCCTACTTTGCTGGGTGTGGGTAGAATAATAAATAGAGTTGCTCCTCCTCTGAGTGACGAGAAGGGAATCTGTTTGGAAATGTGGGGTTCCTGCAAGGCAGATGTCTTCCCTCTCAGTGCCTCGAGGCCCACAGCTCACAGACAAGTGCCCAGAGACTCAAACGGGCCTCTGCTAAAAACAGGCAAGTGTCCATTAGTTGTCTTCTGGGCCTGGCCTGTTTGTCTCTGTATCCACCTCACAGGAGAGAAGCTGCTTGAAGGGCAAGTGATCCAGCTTGAGGACGGGACCACCGCATACATTCACCAAGTGACAGTGCAGAAAGGTGAGGGCACCTGACACACCCCTGTCTTGTGGAGAGAAGCCTGGCAGCCCCCACCAAGGGACCCCTTTATGACACTGAGCTCCAGAGAAAAGCAGGCATTGCTGTCATTACAGAATCTCTCTCCTTTGAGGATGGACAACCCGTGCAACTGGAAGATGGCAGCATGGCCTACATACACCGCACACCCAAAGGTGGGATCACAGTCATCACGACTGGTGGGGCAGGATGGGAGGCAGAATTGGCAGAGGTTGGGGGATGGAGTGGTACACCATGAGGGTCACGGCATAGACATGGGACCTGTCATCCTTAGGGCACACACATGCTCACCTGGATTAGCCGCCTCACCCACCTTCCCTAGTGCAGACTGCAAAAGCACCTGTTTCTGCTACCAGGTGCTGACCTTGAGGGTCAGTACCATGGACCTTGATGGTGGCTTTGGCTCCGACACAGCCACAAAATCTTAGGGCTTTAAATAGGACCCAGGGATTTCATCCAAGACTAGGAGAAAAAAACTTACTAATATTTAAGAATGAAGCTCCTGCCAGGCACGGTGGCTCATGCCTGTAATCCTAGCTCTCTGGGAGGCTGAGGTGGGTGGATTGCTCGAGGTCAGGAGTTCGAAACCAGCCTGAGCAAGAGCAAGACCCCGTCTCTACTATAAATAGAAAGAAATTAATTGGCCAACTATTATATATAGAAAAAATTAGCCAGGCATGGTGGCGCATGCCTGTAGTCCCAGCTACTTGGGAGGCTGAGGCAGAAGGATTGTTTGAGCCCAAGATTTTGAGGTTTCTGTGAGCTAGGCTGACGCCACGGCACTCACTCTAGCCTAGGCAACAAAGCAAGACTCTGTCTCAAAAAAAAAAAAAAGAATGAAGCTCCTAAGGTTCTGAAGAATAGTAATTTATTCCTTCTACAAGTAGTTTCTGGAGTGACTACTGCATGCTAGGCATCGCGCCAGGTGTGGTGTAACAACATCAGATGCAGTCCCTGCTCTCCTGGAGTTTAGTGGGGGAAATGGAGCTGAAACATGACGATCGTTATGAACAGGGATCAAGCTCAGGGAGGGCTTCTCTGAGGAAGTGGTGCTTGAGCTGAGAGGTGAGGAATGAGGTGGACTTACCCAGGGGAAGAAGGATGGCAGGGAGAGTTCAGTACTCCAGACAGAAGGAACAGCATGTGCAGGCCTAGAGCTGGGGAGAAGAAAGAATAATATGTTCAAGGAGCTGCTAGAAGCCAGAGCACTGGCAGTGAGGGCAGAATGGCCAAGAGGAAGCCAAAGAGAGAAAGGCGGGGCCGGTGCGCTTGGCGCTTGCGTGTCAGGATGAGGATTTTAGTCTTTATCCTGAGACCAGTGTTAGAGCTGTTCAGGCAGTTAGGTGACACAGTCACATCTGTGTCTTGCAAAGATCCCTCTGGATGCTGTACTGCCTGGAGGGACCTAGAGGGGGTGCGGGGCGACTGGTCAGGAAGCTCTTGTGGTCATGTAGGCCATGATGCCATGGGCCCCTGTCGGGTCCTTAGAGAGCTCGTGAGTTCCCAATCAGTGCACCCTAGGAGAGGCAGCTCCGGAAGGAGGGCCAGAAGAGTGACTCACCCAGGTGTAGCTGGGTGTGGTGGCACCTGTAGTCCCAGCTACTTGGGAGGCTGAGGAGTTTGAGGCCAGCCTGGGCAACATAGTGAGACCCCCATCACTTAAAAAAAGTCAGACATCAAGGGAGAGCAAAGAGAAACTGGATGCTGAAACCCTCCTTGGCGTATGTACCTCTCAGTAACTTGAAGACAAGGTCCCGGCTGTATCTCTTCCCCTTGGGTGGCGTCGAAGCTAACCACGTGTTCCCTCCAGAGGGCTATGACCCCAGCGCCCTGGAAGCTGTCCAGCTGGAAGATGGCTCCACTGCCTACATCCACCACCCTGCGGCGGTGCCGTCGGACGGCACCATCCTGGCTGTGCAGACAGAGGTGGGCTTGGAAGACCTGGCAGCAGAGGATGAGGAGGGCTTCAGTGCAGACACAGTGGTGGCCCTGGAGCAATATGCCAGCAAGGTGAGCACACAGAGCCTGACAACCTCCGTCTAGATGGTGGGGCATCGCCCGACTGCCTTTTGGTCCTGCCAGAACTTCACCTCTCTGAAGGACAGGGCAGCCTTGTGCTTGGGCACTGCCTGGGCTATTCCCTCTGCCCCTCCACCTCAGCTCCCTCCACTCCTCTGTCACACATCGTTTCGTTGTCTGGGGTGTGCATCACAGCCGGGCTGGGGCCACTGCCAGCTGTTCACACTGACCCTTGATTATGCTGTCTCTGCAGAGGGGAGGCTGCTGCAAGAAACAGTGACACCCTTATGGTGGGAAGCCAGGTCCAGCTTCACTTTGGCTGCTGTAATAATACTCCATACTATCTAGAAAGCCTTGCCTGTGACTTTTATTAGTTTTCTAGTCCACCAACGTCAGATTCTCTTGTATTTATTTAATCTCTGTGACCTGTTTAGTCATTTGGGAAAATAGCCTCAGTAGGCAGCGACAAGGGCATATGCAGCAGAGCGACTGGGATTCTTGGAACTTGAGGCCCACACAGTAGCTCAGCTGATGAGGAGAAGGGTCCTGGCTCTGCAGACGTCAGCAAGTCCAGCCCCTCTCTGCTGGAACTGTGGTCCTGCCAGTGAGGGAAACAGGTACAGAGATCTATGAGCTTTCCAAATCCGGCGCCCCTCCTTGGGCTGGGCGGCAGAGCCTCAGCGCGGATGTGGAGAGCTTCCTGGAGCACCGGTTTACCCAAAGATTGAGGGAGCTGTTTTTTGTTTTTGTTTTTGTTTTTTTTTTGAGACAGAGTCTCGCTTTGTTGCCCAGGCTAGAGTGAGTGCCGTGGCGTCAGCCTAGCTCACAGCAACCTCAAACTCCTGGGCTCAAGCGATCCTCCTGCCTCAGCCTCCCTAGTAGCTGGGACTACAGGCATGTGCCACAATGCCCGGCTAATTTTTTTCTATATATATTAGTTGGCCAATTAATTTCTTTCTATTTTTAGTAGAGACGAGGTCTCGCTCTTGCTCAGGCTGGTTTCGAACTCCCGACCTCGAGCAATCCGCCCGCCTCGGTCTCCCAGAGAGCTAGGATTACAGGCGTGAGCCACCGCGCCCGGCCAAGGGGGAGCTGTTTTTATAATGAAGCTGTGTGGCTGTATGGTAAAGGAAAAGAGGAAATCCTCGTGTGTTTCAAAATAAAGTAAAATAAAGCCATGCCCACTCCCACCCCTATTCCCGGAGGTGTATTTGAAAGATCAAATTTGAGACTTGTTGCTGATGGAAAGAGAACCGGGTTTTATTTAAACCATGAGCCCTGAGATCCGTGCCGGCTCTGCTACTACCCAGCCCAACCTTGGGTGAGTCCCGCCCCTCCCAGGCCTCAGCTGTTCCTCTCTAATATGAGATGAAACCAGATGATCTCAGAGGCCACTTCTAGCCCTGGTGTTCCTTCATTCCCTCGATGACCCCAGAGCTAGTGAGACATGGGAGTGACATGCAAGTGCCCACATGGGTTGTGACCCTCCCCTGTCCCCACCAGCTGCTTAAGTATCCATGAAACCTTGTCAGCTATTTGACCTCCTGACTTGGAGCCTGACTAGACAGACTTGCTGTGAGTTTGGCCTCAACCCTTTATCCCCATCACTACGACTCTAGAGTTCAATTTCAGAGCTCCTGGAAAGACCAATGTGATCCTGAAGCATTCCAGAATAAAAGACTAAGGGACAGTCCCACCAGGACCCTTCCCAGAAAAACAGAAGAGCAGTAACGGCTCTGTATGGCCAGGGGCTGGTGTGAGACAGGTGGCTCTAGCAGTGTCCCAGGGGAGATGAAAGAGGAGGACTGGCCGGGCGCGGTGGCTCACGCCTATAATCCTAGCACTCTGGGAGGCCGAGACAGGCGGATTGCTCGAGGTCAGGAGTTCGAAACCAGCCTGAGCAAGAGCAAGACCCCATCTCTACTATAAATAGAAAGAAATCAATTAGCCAACTAATATATTTAGAAAAAATTAGTCGGGCATGGTGGCACATGCCTGTAGTCCCAGCTACTCGGGAGGCTGAGGCAGCAGGATTGCTTGAGCCCAGGAGTTTGAGGTTGCTGTGGGCTAGGCTGATGCCACGGCACTCTCTCTAGCCTGGGCAACAAAGCGAAACTCTGTCTCAAAGAAAAAAAAAGAAAGAAAGAAAGAGGAGGACTTATCAATTAGCTGGTGCTGTCCTTAGAGCTGAGACTTCTGGTAGGGACTGCAGTCCCCTCCCCTGGGCGCTTCTGGTTGTAGCCAGCTTACCCTGGGCCTTGTGCCCTGCCAGGGGAACCTAGGTGAGCTCATCCCCACAGTAAGCCCCCTTGTTACTGCCCCTTCTGAGCACAGGTTTCCTGCTGGGAGGAAGAGGGCCTCCCGTCAGAGGACGGAGGTGTCAAGAGTGGAAGCCTCCTCGGTGTGTGTGGTTGAAAGGAGGGTTGCTGGCACTGCACCCACTTCAAGTATGGCCTTTCAGACAGCCTCTCTCCCCCTACCTAGCTGTCTAGGAAACGTCCTTTATTCAGTAGCTTCCATAGCCCCTGTGGCTTTAGTCTTCCCTCTGCCCATCAGAGATGGGTGGGGATGCCACACGCGAGCCTGTTTCCTCTGCAGCGTGCCCTCATCTGTCCCCTGTCTGTCTGGAATGTCTTTCTACTACAGAGGCCCCTGACAGGCTTAACCTTGTTTATTGGGTCTTAAGCTGCCAGCTGGGCCCTGTATCCCACTCCTCCCATTGCGTCATTGGGGAGAAAACATAATAGGGACCCCAACATTTTCCCCCAGGTTCTGCATGACAGCCAGACTCCCCACAATGGCAAGGGGCAGCAGGTTGGAGACAGAGCGTTCCGCTGTGGCTACAAGGGCTGTGGGCGTCTCTACACCACTGCTCATCACTTAAAGGTAAGCTTGCTGGTGACAGCTTTCAGCTCTGCCATCTTCCCTTCCGGACTGTGATTCTGCCTTTCTACTTGGATTGAACTGGTCCCCGCCCTGAAGTTGCTGGAGGGAAGAGCTGAGTGTGCAGACATGTCAGCACGGGGCTATGGCACTTGTGAATGGTGCGGGAGGGAAGAGGAGCAGGGCTGTGAGGAAACTAGAGAGTACAAGTCGTACCCTTGTCCTCTGAACTGTGTGATTGCTTGTTCTCACAGGTGCATGAACGAGCTCACACGGGTGACCGTCCATACAGGTGTGACTTCCCCAGCTGTGGAAAGGCCTTTGCCACAGGTAACCTACCTGGATGGAGACCAAAGGCGGACCACTGTCAGCTGAGGGCAGAGGGTTCTAGATCTGCTCTGGGATCTCCCTGAAAGGAACCCGCCACCAGGCTGCCTTCCTGGAGAAACTGCCATCAGAGTGCTCTGACTAGCAGGTGCTCTCTCTGGAGCGAGCCCTGCTGCAGACGGGAAAGGCAGGATGGTCCAGGCAATGGAAGGAGGCTGGAGGGCTGGTGGAGAGACCCTGCCTCTGGTGTTGGCTCTGATGCCAGCCCGCTGGGGGCCCTTGCATCTCTCGGGCTTACCGTCCTCTCTGCGAAAACAAGGGCCTTTAGCCACCAGTTCTTTAAGTTTCCTCTCATACTCATGTTCTAGAATGGCTCCAGCTGCCCCTGCAGAAAGAAGAAGGGCAGAATGGGCGTTTTTAGCCGCTCTTTCATCTGCCCGGGCTGGGGAGGGATAGAGGCAGACATAGGCTTCTTGAGCCAAGAACGCCCTGGGGCCTCCCAGAGCTCACCTTAAGATGGAGGGCCTCTGCGCGGGTGGACGGTGGAGGACGAGGCCCCACCACATGCTCTCCTCACCCCTCCTCAGGCTATGGGCTGAAGAGCCACGTTCGCACCCACACCGGTGAGAAGCCGTACAAGTGCCCAGAGGAGCTGTGCAGCAAGGCCTTCAAGACCTCGGGAGACCTGCAGAAGCACGTCCGAACCCACACCGGTATGCTGGGCCCTGCCCACCCCGGTCCCTGGGCAGAGGGGACTCAACTCACCTTTCAGACAAGGACCTGGAGCCCGGTGTCATCCCCTTCTTGCACCACCCCTCACGCCCCCCATTTGTGCAGGTGAACGCCCGTTCCGATGCCCCTTTGAGGGCTGTGGCCGCTCCTTCACCACGTCTAACATCCGCAAGGTGCACGTGCGCACCCACACAGGCGAGCGGCCCTACACCTGCCCGGAGCCCCACTGTGGCCGCGGCTTCACCAGCGCGACCAACTACAAGAATCACGTGCGCATCCACACAGGTGGGCCAGCAGGTGGACGAGGACCACCCCGAGGCCCCAGCCCCTCTGCTGTAGGCTTCTGATCTAAGATGCATTCTCATCTCCCAGCCCAGAGCCCTTCCCGGCCGGCCGCTCTGGGCTGCTCTGGGAGTGGGGTATCCCTAGAACCGCCGGTTCCAGTTAGGTCCAATCTGACTGGTCCCGCCAGCCCTCTCTTGGGTCCCTCAGCTCCTTACCACCTTCCTACACCCGCCCTGAGTTCCTCCACTCCGCCAGGCTCCTGAGCAGAGGCCAGGGTCCGGATGACGGGGAGGAGGCAGAGTGAAACGCCGCCTTCCCCCCTCGCCCGTCCACCGCCCGTGTGGCCCTGTGTGTCCTCCTTCCCCAGCGCTGCTCCCTCGTCAGCCGTCTGTGTCTTCTTAGCCATGTGTGTCCCCTCTCTCTCCTGTCACACCTGACACCTCATCATCCCTGCCTCCTGCCTCTGCTGTTCATCACTCTCAGCGCTCCCTCCCGCAGCCTCACAAGCCCCCAGTGTCCCCACCAGCCACTCCACTGGCCCCAGCCTCGCCCCGTCCCGCTTTTCCCCACCTTGTCTCTGGGCTCAGGGGTTCCACACCCTCGTGCTCTCTGTGTCCCTCTGGCCACCTCCTCCAACTCTGTCCTTTCAGAGTCTCAGTTTGCAGTCCCTCTCCCACCTGCTGGCTCTCCCTTTCCCAGCCCTGTCCTCAGCCCCTGTCCCCTTAGTTTCCCCCTTGCCAGCCCCAGTTCCCACCCCCCTCACAGCCCAGTGTCCCCAGGGGAGAAGCCATACGTTTGCACGGTGCCAGGCTGCGGCAAGCGCTTCACCGAGTACTCGAGCCTGTACAAGCACCACGTGGTGCACACGCACTGCAAGCCCTATACCTGCAGCACCTGCGGCAAGACCTACCGGCAGACCTCCACCCTGGCCATGCACAAGCGCAGTGCGCACGGCGAGCTGGAGGCCACAGAGGAGAGCGAGCAGGCCCTCTACGAGCAGCAGCAGCTTGAGGGTGAGGGGGGTGGGCAGGGGCTAAGAGTGGGACAAGCCAGGCCTCCCATGGCATCCAGGGCAGGTGTCAGCCTGGGCTCTCCTCTCCCAGCTGCCTCTGCTGCCGAGGAGAGCCCGCCACCCAAGCGGCCCCGCATTGCTTACCTTTCGGAGGTGAAGGAAGAGGGTGATGACATCCCAGCCCAAGTGGCCATGGTGACCGAGGAGGATGGGGCCCCCCAGGTGGCTCTGATCACTCAGGATGGTGCCCAGCAGGTACAGGCCCTGGAGGGCAGGGGTGGGGCCAGCCACTCTGTGGGCACCCTCTCTTCTCTCTCAGAGCTCTGGGGAGCCCTGGACTTCTGACAGCCCCACCTCCACCCAGTTTCCAGTTGAAGCTTTATGAACCTCAGAGAGCTGAGGCTGGGGGGACCACATCTTGTGACATGGCTCCTCCTCCTCCTCATGTTTCCAGCTCAGTCTCTGGGACTTCTGGGGCACAGTTGGTAGTTTCTCTCTTTACTTGGAAGCTGATAGGTCCTGATCATCTGAATGAGACACTTGGATGTCCTTCTCAAGAGAGGCATGTAGGTACAGGGGCTAGAGCATGGTGTGGGGTTTAGAAGCCTGGGGTCTTGTCCCAGCAGTGTACTAGCCAGCTGTATAACCTGACCCTTGTCAGCACCCGCACTATGAAATTCACCTGTGCCTTCTAGAGTTGTCATGAGGACGACATCAGGTAGAGACCCAGAATTGCATACAACAGGGCCCAGAGGCAAAATGGTGACAAATAGAAGTGGTTGGCCAAATTTTTCTAGTGTAGCCACTCATAGCAACCTTGGACCCATTTTGTTTACTTGTCCCTCCACCCGTTCCACCCTTATGACACTTCTGGCTTACCAGTAGGCCAGCTTTATCTGGGAGAGCTGATACATCCTCCTTAAGTGCTTTCAGACAACCCTCCACTGACACCCCCAGCTCATCTTCTCCTTTCCTGTTGGCAGGTGAGCCTGTCCCCGGAAGACCTGCAGGCCCTGGGGAGTGCCATCAGTATGGTGACCCAGCATGGCAGCACCACCATCACCATCCCCAGTCATGAAGACCACCTGGCCGCATCCGGCACACATACGGTCACCATGGTCAGCGCCGATGGCACCGAGACACAGCCCGTATGACCAGGCAGTTTGTTCGGGGTTTCTTGTTCTCGTGTCATTCGTTTATGGGGGGTGGTCACTAAAGTGCAGGTTAAACTAGTCCAGCCTTCTTACAAGGACAAATTCCCCACAAAAGAGGGTCTTCCCTACAGCTCCTCTGGGTCGTGATTGAACGCATTCAAGTCAGGCAACACTTTCTCCATCTCACTCTGCCTCTGATTTGCTTTGTGACCTTAGGCAAGTCACTTTTCCTGGACTTCACTCCATTTTCAAATGAGGGGATTAAATTATCTCTGGGGTTTTTTTACAGCTCTGTCCTTCTGTTATTCAAAATCCCTAAATTAAATTGGGTTCTAAATTAGAGAAAAACCGAAGCTCACTCAGCTCTCAGCCCCAGGCTGATTAATCTGACCCTTGTGGTTTTATCCATTCCCTTCGGAGTGGTTCGCAGCCACCTTGCTTGAAGGGATTTTGTTTCATTGGGGGGAAGGAGAGTACTACAGGTGGGTTGAAAGACCTCATTCCTGTTTTTCAGGTCACAATCATTACCTCTGGGGCTGTGGTAGCTGAGGACTCAAGTTTAACGTCCCTTCATCATCAGCAGGTGGCGTTGTTGGCCACAGCCAACGGCACACACATTGCCGTGCAGGTGGGCAGAGGTCTGGAGGAAAAGGGACCCCACGGCCAGAGAAGGGAACAAGGAGGGGGAGGGGAATTAGATGGGGATCTTGAAGAGAGGGGCATCTGGCACAGAAAGAGCCCATTTCAGAGGACAAAGCCCTATGTGCCTACATCCACGTCCAGGCCCTTTCTTGGCTGAGGCAGAATGATGAAGGCCTTTCCAGCCTTCAGTGTAACTCTGATGGCAGCCCACCTGTGGTCCAAGCCCTTCTTCTCTTTGTGTCTCTGTTCTTCATCTGGCAAATACGGAGGCTGAAGTAGGTGATCACTAAGGGCTTCTCCAGCCAGTCATTCTCCTGTGAGCAGGTCTCTGAGCCTGGCCAATTCCATGGCTCCCTGGCCATGCCTAGCCTGCTAAATACTCTGTCAGTAAATTTCCTGTTTATTAGAGCCCTACTAAGTGCTCAGCATGTAGTGCTGGAAAGACTGAGGAGATTGAAAAAAGTAGGCCACATCCTACTAACACGAGACTCTACGAGGAAGGGTCTCACTCTCTTCTTCCTTCTACGTCCTCTTCCCCACAGCTGGAGGAGCAGCAGACCCTGGAGGACGCCATCAGTGTGGCCACCGCTGCCATGCAGCAGGGGGCTGTGACCCTGAAGACGGCAGTGTCGGAGAGTGGCTGCTGAGCACGAGAGGGCTGGGTCCTACACCGTGTTAGAGGAGGTGTCAGGCTGCACAGGCGTTCTCGCCTCCAAGGGCCCAGGCTGTGGCTGGCACGCATGGAAGGTGGCCACATAGCTCTCTAGGGCAGGAAGGCGGCAGGAAAACGGCCTAACTGATGGGGGCCCCGCCCAAGAGGAGGGCCAGTCGGCCAGAATTGCGGAGCATGTCATCCTCGGAAGCTGAGGAGAACGAGTCTGATCACCAGGCTGCACTGGGGTGCCCTCCCCTCAAAATCAGTGGGGTGTCCACTCCTTCTAGAGAACACCCTTCCTGCCCTCAGTCCGCTCTCCTTCTCAGGTGGAAACTGGGGCTGCTGGGGGACTGGCCCTCCACCCTGATGGTCATCGCCTGCCAGGGGAGGGGCAGGCAGCTCTTCAGCCCAGTGGGAGCAGAGCAGGCCCGGCCCTGCCCTCCCAGCAATAACCACCTCCCTTGAGGCCAGCCAGGATGCCTGGCCACTTGGCACAGGGACTTCCTGCCACTGCAGTCAGAATTAATTCCTCAGGGGCCTGTGGCTGGAAAAAAGGTACCCAGCCCCCACCACCCCCAGCTGCCCCCCGCCCCCGCCTCTCTGCGGCAGAGAGGTAGGGAGCAGCCCTGTAAATAGACTACAGGGGATTGGGTTTAATTTGTTTTGTTTTTTTAATTCCATTTTGATAATTTTTTTTTCCTGCTCTGGGTGGTGGTGGCAAATGGGTGAATGAGTATTTAATAAAAGTTCCAAGTTTCTACCTGGGTCCCTCCATCCTTTCAGCTCTGGGCCCTGGTGCAGGGCTGGTCAAGTCAGGCTCTCAGCCCTGTTTCCCTGGCACAAACCCCGCCTGGCCTCAGTTCCTGAGTGGGGCTGGCCTGCCTGTGGCACAGGTAGGAGGAGGAATGCCCCATGTAAGATAAACCCTGGGTGGCTGCTAGTGGCTTTGTGCCCACAGCTGAGCAGGTGAGCTCCAGGGTGGCCACTGCTTCCAGGCTCTACCTGAATCTCAGGCCTCAGGATGATTGGCTTGGAGGAACTGTTTTTCTCTGTCTTATCTTGTGAAGTGTAGTCAGAGCCCCTCCACACCCAGCCACCCCATAACCACACATAGTCAGCTGCTTCAAGAGGACAAAGCCCCAGGTTAGAGTGAAGCCACAGTTACCCAGTTTCAAGGAACAGAGTCCGATACCTCTGGTGCCGACATCCTGGCTCTATTACCCAGTTCTGAGGACTGTGCTGTGGGATTCCAAAGCCACAGTCAGACCCCTCCGACAAGTGAGTTGGGAAGACCAGATCAGCCCTAGAAGGTGGAAGGGGTGCAGGGGAATGCACTCGATGGAAAGGAACTCTGTTTTTGACCCTGCCCAGGTAGGAGCATTGCAGGGATTAGAGGTGCCTCTTTTCCACTCTCCACTATGATGGACACGCTCCAACCCCCTTCCTGCCACCCAGGATTGGAACCCCCTCCTCCAACCCAGGCATCTTCTCCCAGGATGCCTAGAAAGCTCCCACTTACTCTTGCCTCTAGGAACAGAGAGGCCGGGCATGCTTCCATGGAGGGGGGTGTCTCAGAATTGACCTGAGCAAATGTGTGCAACATCCATGCCACTCTTCCTGGTGTGGGTGCATCCCAGTCCTCATGGGCACTGGGTCTAAGAAATGGAAGCACTGATGTGGAAGAGCCTGAATCCCAAGCCTGCCGCCACCAAGACCCTTGAGGCTGGGCCCTACCACAGGGAGGGCTCACCCCTTCAGGGCACCTGAGCCCAGAATGGGCAATGCTCTGAGAAGCTTTGGAGCCAACGCTGAAGGCCTGGGGAGCCAGCAAATCAAGTGCTCAGTCCTCCTGACCTGGAGAAGTGGCCTGGCCCAGTTTCTCCTCCAGCTTTGTGATGTTGCCTTTGTTTTCCACTTGGGTGGAGTCCCACCAAGGGACTGTTAGGTGGGTCTAGCTAAAAGAGATGCTTTATCCAGAGCCTACGATGTGTTTGCATCCGTTCTCAGACATTCTTACAATTCGGAGGTTGGTATTCTTCCTGCTTCACCAATGAGGACACTGCTCAAAGAGGTTAGGTAATTTATCCAAGGCCTCCACCTAGTACCCGTGGAATTGGGACCAGACCCCTAGTCCATGTGACTCCAGAGTTAGGATGGGCTTGCTTTTTCCCTCAGCAGGCTGCCTCTGGGAGCCCCAGAAGGCCCTGAGGCTGAGAGGCTTCTGAAAGGAGCTCACACGCCCAGGGAGCCAGGCAAATACAGAACAGGGGCTCTGGCTCTCAGGGAGCTGGTCCCCAGGTCCCGTGCTGGAAGTGGGCACCGAGCACTGCAAGAGCAGCAGGGCCAGGCTCCTGCGAACACGGCACCAAAGCGAGCAGGCAGGTGGAGCTCTCGCTCTGCCACGGCCCCTCTGCGGTCTCTGCAGCCGTTTGCATTTCCTGAAACCGGATCTTAGTGTCAGAGCCGCCCCCGGCCGGGCGGGCGCCTCAGCCATGGCCCTGCGCAAGGAGCTGCTCAAGTCTATCTGGTACGCCTTTACTGCGCTGGACGTGGAGAAGAGTGGCAAGGTCTCCAAGTCCCAGCTCAAGGTGAGGGGCACCCGGGGCCCAAGGGAGGCTGGCAGACGTACACACCAGCCCCTGCCGCCTGGGAGCCAGGCGTGACCACCATGCTACTCCGGGGCGCCCAGGCATCCAGTGGCCCAGCCTGGGGTGAGGGACCAGCACTGGTAACCCAGCTAACAGCCTGGTGGAGGCTGCCGCCCACCATGCAGAGGCCCTACTGGAGTGTGTGCAGCTCCCTTGGCCAGAACCGGGCTCCCCAGCTGTGTGGAGGGTGGGGGCCTCATGGGGCTCTGAGGGCCATGAGCCAGGCCACATCCCAGACTCCATGTGATGAGCACACACATCTCCCCGGAGTCATGCTTGGGCATGCAGCCTGCTCCTTCTTGCCTCTTCTTCCTGACTTGCGAGACAGACAGTTAGCCACTGCTTGTTGCTCACTTCCTCTGGAGCTGAGAGAGGCATGCAGGGCCTCCCCGACCCCTGAGCCAGTCTGGCCCACTGAACTTCCCCCCCCACCCCCCACCCCGATGGTGCAGAGCTGGGAGGGCAAGGACTAAGGACCGAATTATACTGCTGTGCAGCTCACCAGCCCCCTCCACCCACAAACACCTGGTTGGGAAACTTAGCTTAGACCTGGAGACCTCAGGTGAGGGGCGCCTGGAATCTGAGCCCAGTAAAAGCCCCATCAGTGACTGTCTTCTGTCATCTGGCCTAAACAATTCCTGGGAAGCCAGGTCTTTCCCTCTTCCTCCAGTCCTCAGTGCTGCCTTCCCTACCCTTGCTAGGGAGGAAGCAAGGCCCTAGGCTGCTAGAACCAGGGAGCACTGGCGGAAAGGAGCAAGGTAGGCCTCAGTTCTCCGGAACCTGGGGGTTCATCCATTCACTCCGCAAATATCTGAGTGCCCCACAAGGGGCTCTATGCCCGGGATGAGGCTAGGCCCTAGATTCCTGGTGTCACCTCTGCCCCACCCCCACAAAGGAGGGGTACAGTCTCAAGGAAATCTCCAATCTTAAACCTCCACCTCTCTCTGGAAACCTGAGAGAGATGAATGGGACAGAATAGGTATTCTGTCCCACCCCCATCTCAAACCCCCACTTTGCTGAACTTGGACCTGATGAACTTGGATATCCCACCCAAACTGGTCCTATGTTATAATCTGTCCCTTAGCTGGATTTAGAGTAACTAATAAATGATTTTTCACTCTCCCATGGAGAGCCCACTACCACCTTTTGTCACTTGGAGAGTACCTCGCAGCAGTCAGGTTCTTCCTTATATACTACTTAAATCCCTTATGTTGCAGATCATGTCATCTAGTTGGGTTCTCAGTATAGGTGGGAGAAATGCTGATCACCCAGAGTCCATCACTTCAGACTATGTGCCCGACACCCCCCTCCTACCCTGTCCCTTTAATATTTTGCCAGGACAATACCAGCCCCCATGGCGTGTTGCTTCCAAGGTACCGTTTTCCACCTCTCCGTTACCTGTGGCTCCTGAGGTGCCTCCAGGCTCTCTGTGTTCCTCATGTGGCAGTGGGGAGGCTACAGCCTTCACGTGGCCCCCCTTTTCCTGGTGCCACCAACTGATGAGGCCTCCTAACTTAAGCCTCTGTCTAGGCCTCTAACTGGGCCGATAGTCTCCCACGTCCACAGGTTGAGTGTTTCTGGGAAGATTCCATGGAGAGCTTGCATACTTTGTACCACATCACAATTCAAATTGAGGCCAGCAACGTCTCTGGTCACACAGGATCAATGGTAGATTTCACCCCTACTTGACATAAAACTTGTCCACTCTGGAAACCAGAGCTAACAGTGGGAGTCTCAGGGGCCAAGTGGAGGTAGGGCAGGCATGGCAGAGCTCCTGCCACGGGAGAGAAGGAGGGAGCAGCAGTTCTCCCCCAGGCCCACAGTAGGGAAGGCTGGAATGGGAGGAAGTGGTGATAGTGTTGGGGGCGGGGATCCCAGAAAGTCAAAGGAGTAATAGAGAAGTGGTCAAAAGACAGCAGATGAGAGAGATATACAAGCAAGGCCCACCCCTTCCCCTGAAAAGACTTAGGGACAAGAGAAATGATCTTGGGGCTAGCCTGTTCTTACTGAAACTGTCCTTGGTTGGAACCAGGCAGGAAACCTGCACCAGCCCAGGGCAAGCTATGCCTGTGTGTGACAGTTGCTGCTTCTGCCCTGATGTGTTGGTGGTGGGGCTGCCACTGCTGTCCTGGGCAAACCCAGGATGAGGCCAGAGGGAGGAAGAAGAGCAGCAAGTCCTCCGAGAAAAGCCCATGGAGTCAGGATTATTTTCCTTGCACAACAGAAGGCTTGAGCAGGGTACAAATGTGTGTGTTCCTCTCTTTGAATTCTTGTAGAAAGCACAGTGGCTTTCATCCAGTTGGGTTGAGAACAGTGAAAATAGACCAATAGGAATGACATTTCTGCCCAGGATGGATTTAGGTTGAACACAAAACCTCCTAGGAGTTGAGGGCTGTGAGTTTTTGCTGGGTCCTCAGAACCTCCTCTAAAAAACCATAGGAGTGGCCAGGCGCGGTGGCTCACGCCTGTAATCCTAGCACTCTGGGAGATCAAGGTGGGAGGATCGCTTGAGCTCAGGAGTTCAAGACCAGCCTGAGCAAGAGTGAGACCCTGTCTCTACTAAAAATAGAAAAATTAGCCAGGTGTGGTGGCGTGTACCTGTAGTCCCAGCTACTCAGGAGGCTGAGGCTAAAGGATCGCTTGAGCTTACGAGTTTGAGGTTGCTGTGAGCTATGATGATGACACTGTACTCTACCCAAGGGTGACAGAGTGAGACAGTATCTCAAAAAAAAACAAAAAACAAAAAACTATAGGAATGAGCAGCCACCCTGACAGAGGGCTGTAGAGAGGGGAGCCCTTGGGGATGATGGGCTTCCTAATGGCCACACCCTCTTCCCCAGGGGAGCAGCTTTGATTTTAGGCCTAGTGGAGGATCCGCTGAGAATTTGGCCTCCTCCCTCCTGACTACCAGGTAGCAGGGGTGGGGTAGGGGGTGTAGATGGGGTAGCATGTCTCTGGCATGGCGAGGAGTTAGGGGGCAGCAGGCCTAGTACTTCCCCTTGACTGGCAGGAGCTGGGGGGAGGAAGGGAGGATGTGCAGGCGCCCCTCCGGCTGCTGAGCCCCCAGCTGACACTCTAGGCAGTCTGGGCCCAGGGAGAGTCTCTCTCCCACTGAGAGTCTCTGAGCTTCAGGCTCTGCCTCCTCTGGAGAGGGACAGCAGCCTTCCCCTTAACGGAGGAAAAGGTAAGAACAGCTCCAGTCCAGCTTCGCCCTGCCCCCCGTGTGCTGCTCTCCTGGGCTAGGATGTGGGCATGGGGGAGGACGATTTAATGGTGTGCGGAGCGCACTTGACTCAGAGCCACGTAGGCTTGGCTCTACACTGCTCCCCAGCTGGCTGGCCTCGAGCAAGTCACTGCCCACTTTTGAGCCTCTAGTTTCTCATCTACAAACCGAGAGTGTTGAGCTGGGGCTCACCAAGCCACCCCGCCAGCCTACGAAAAGACCTCAGATGCTATTACCGTCCATCAAGTAGGTGAAACTGGCCCTTGATGCAACCTCTCCTTTCCCTTTTCTGGGCCTATATCTTTTCTTTGATGCCCACACGCAACCCCTCCAGCCCCTTCTTGTTTTCAGCAGGGTACACAACTAATCCAGAGATTCCCACCTTTTAAAATTCCCCGTGCTGCTCCGTGATTGTAGTTATGCTTTAGTGCCCAGTAGAATACACTCAGTAACTCTTAAAAGGATCTGTGTCTTTGAAAAGGATCGTTTGGCACCTAGATTCATTTAAAGACCATAGTCCAGTTAGAGGGAGAGAGTATTCATTCTTTGTGAAATCATTGCTTGGTGCTTTTCTGGGTGCCCAAACCCCCATATCTGCATCTACTCCCTTGGTCAGCCAGGGGTTGAGGATCCTAAAGGCTGGATATTACAGAACCAGTCCCTACTGATTTATTATTTTTTTTTGAGATAGGATCTCACCTTGTTGCCCAGGTATGAGGACAGTGGCATGATCATAGCACACTGCAACCTCAAACTCCTGCCTCAGCCTCCCTAGTAGATGGGACTACAGGTGCGCTCCACTATGCCAGCTAATTTTTATATTTATTTTGTAGAGACAGGCCTCTCACTATGTTGCTCTGGCTGGTCTCGAACTCCTGGCCTCAATTGATCCTTCCACCTGAGCCTCCTAAAGTGCTGGGATTCTAGGTCTGAGCCACCATGTCCACTTCCTACTGACTTACTCTTGTGAACATGGACATGACACCTGCCCTGATCCCCACACCTGAGTTTTTAGAGGACTCTAAGTCCCCAGACGAGAGCTACTCCCCTACGTGCCTGCAGAAGTAAGGGCCTTTCAAAGGTCAGAGGCTGCTGACCCAAAGGTCAGGGGCTGCCTGGGTGGGTGTGGGAGACTGTGGAAACCTCTCCGAGGGAGCCCTAATGGCAGCTCATGAAAAATACAGACACCTGGACCCCACCCCTGGAAACTCTGAGTCAGTAGGTCGGGGCGGGGCAGGCGTATTTCAGTTTCATCAGCTCCTCGGTGATTCTGCCGTTCAGCCAGGGCCAGCGCAGTGTGCAGATCAAGAGCAGGACTTTGGAACCTGACCTTGGGGAAGACTTCATCTTTCTGAGCCTGATTTCCTCCTCTGTAAAACAAGGATAATGAGAGTCCCTGCCTGCAGGGCCGAGGGTTGATTGAGATCTGCCAGGGAGCTCCTGCTCAGCTCCTCCACCCCTGCCATTTCCTCTCCAGCATGAGTCCTCCCCTAGGCACACCCTCTCTCCACCCACAGCCCTACCCGCACCCAGGCACAGGAAGCCTGGCAGTCTGAGGTCTGCCTCTCCTCTCTGGGGAGAAGCCCTGAGCCCTGAGCCCTGGAGCCCTTAAGTCCTCCCTGTCCTCGAATCTGACAGCCCGCGCGCTAGGGCCAGTCTCTGTCCCAGGCTCTTCAGAGTCCAGTGGCAAAAGGTGCAGGTGAGGAAAATGGGCTCAGTAGGTCTTAGAGGACATGTGGGCGAGGGAACCAAGGAGGGGGCGGCTCAAGTGCCCGTGGGCTGCTGTGTGGCAGGTTCCAGCCTGGGTGGGAGCGGGCTTCCTGCGGGATCGCCGCGAATTCCCTTTTTAGAGACATGAAACCTAATCCTCGTGAGGTAAATGTGCTCAGAGACATCAACCATGTCTGCCTCGTTTTTGTATTTTTTCTGCTTCTTCTCATGAGGTATTTAAGTCCATTCAACAGATGAACATCCATATGTGCCAGGCCCAGCGACACAGCAGTGAGCAAAACACAAAAATCTCCACCCTTGTGCTGACGTGCTGGTCCCAGGAGACAGATGATAAACTCAACAAAACGTATAGTGTGGCGGGAGGTGATACAGGACATGAAGGAAAATAAGCAGAAGTGGGGATGGGGAGTGTGGTGGGGGGGGGTTATAGAGTTCAATAAAGCTATCCGGGCGAGGTGGTGGCGCCTGTAGCCCCAGCTGCTCGGGAAGCTGAGGTGGGAGGATCACTTGGCCCTGCAGTTCGTGACTGGCCTAAGCGATATAGCAAGACCCCTCTCTAAATAAAAAATGAAGTGATCAGGGAGCCCTCCCTAAGAAGATGACATCTAAATAAAACTGGGAAGGAGGAGAAGGTGGGAGCCGTGAGGTGACCTGGGAGAGGAACTTTCCATGCTGCAGGAACAGGTGCAAAGGCCCTGAGGCAGAAGTATGGCCGGCCTGTTGTAGGAACACCAGGGAGGCCAGAGTGCCTGGAGAGATGTGAACAAGAGGCATGAGGTGAGAGAAGGCACAGCAGGCCAGGTCACATGGGACTGGAGGCCTCCGGAAGGACTCGAGCTTTTACTTTGAACATGATGGGAAACCACTGGAGCATTTAAGTTAGACTTGAGGACTCAGTGGGAAACATTCAGTGTCGGGGGACATTATACTGATCCCTGGAGTCGAGGTTGGGATTAGAGTCCTTACTGCTCCAAAGAATGTAGAACACCCAGAAATGCTCACACAAACAGTAGATAGCAAAAGAATATTATGACAGTGCAATTTAATAACAGGGCAAATTAATAACAGTAGTTAAGGGCGCTCTGTTTTTTATCTCTATTGTTTTAAAATTTTGTCATAAAGACAACATATGCTCCTGGTTTAAAAAAATCAGGATGCAGAAGACTATTATGTTAAAGAAAAAATTTATTATGAAAGTAAACCATGTTACTGGTTAAAAGATTTCAAAGAGTAGAGAAGAATATAATGTTAAAGAAGATGGAGTTTCCCTCCTACCCTCCACCCCTCACCCTAGGGGGGGGATCACTGTTGACAGTTTGCTGAATCTTCTGGGTTCTTTCTATGTACAAGTAAACACGCTAGGTCAAACCATATGAAATTTCTGACACTTGATCATTTTGACCTACTAAAATACCAGTTTCATATTCAACCTAATCTTTGCACATGTTTGTTTTACAAACATTTCATTATGCAGCTTGCTTTTTTCACATGCCAGTACAGTATGCATATCTTTCCATGTCTGTTCATACGACATAATAATAATGATAGCTCACAACTTCTATTAAGCAATGCATTAGGCAACAGGTACTATGCCTTAGCACACGCTCCTCACTCAAAACAGTGCTTTGAAACAAGGCCATCATTGTCCTCACAGAGGAAGAGACTAAAGTGTTGGAGGATTAAATCATTTGCTCATGAGCACACAAGTAGCAGAAGTAAAATCTAACTACACATAATGGTCCATGAAATGGTGTATCTGTCCCCTATTGAAGGAGCCTCAGGTACCCAGTTCTTCATATTATAAAACAATGCTTCAGTGAACATTCTTGTACATGTGGCTCTATTCCCTTGAGCATTTGTAGGTTGGATGATTAGAAATTCTGGTGCACAGGTCATGCCCAATTTTAAGGTTTGTTTTTGTTTGTTTGTTTGTTTGTTTTGAGACAGAGTCTCACTTTTGTTGCCCAGGCTAGAGTGAGTGCCGTCAGCCTAGCTCACAGCAACCTCAAACTCCTGGGCTCAAGCCATCCTCCTGCCTCAGCCTCCCAAGTAGCTGGGACTACAGGCATGCGCCACCATGCCCGGCTAATTTTTTGTATATATATTTTTAGTTGGTCAATTAATTTCTTTCTATTTTTAGTAGAGACAGGGTCTCGCTCTTGCTCAGGCTGGTTTCAAACTCCCGACCTCGAGCAATCCGCCCGCCTCGGCCTCCCAGAGTGCTAGGATTACAGGCGTGAGCCACCGCGCCCGGCCTAGCCCTTGTTTTATTGACAACAAATTGAGGCTCAGAGAGGTGAAGGGGTTTATCCAAGACCCCTCAACTAGAAAGAGAAGGTCCCTGGCCTTCCCTTCGCTTGAGTGTAGCCATCTGGCTGGGGCATGCAGGAAGCTTCCTCAAAGACACACTTTAAGAGGCTTGAAGATAAGGACATGGGTAGTTGGAGAAGAGACAGCAGATGAGTATGTGTAAGGCTCTTAGAACGCCTGTCACTTCAGAAGTGGCCAGGGGATGTTCGCCATTATTTTCTTGAGTCAGTCGCCCTGGATTTTAAGTGCTGGGCATTGAGCCAGCGGCACCCCTTCGAGTGAGATTGGTATCCTGTGACCATAGATGTGTCAGGCAAGACTTTTCTAGATACAAAAGTAATAGAAACCAAACAGCTTAAGGGAGAGGGCATTTATTGGCTCATATAACCAAAACTCCAGGGAAGGCTGCCCAGAGGGAAATGGGACAATAAGGAAACACAGAGCCCTTAGTTGGGCCCATAACTTCTCACTTTGCCAAGGAGAACCCGAAGCCCAGGAGAACACTGGGGGAAAGTCTCGATTCTTTTTCCCCCTCCTCTCCTTGTCTGCAGAAAAAGGACACTGATACCTAATGAAGCAGTTAAGATTATGGTCCCCTGGGTTTGAATCCCAGCTCTGCCGGCCATAACCTAGAGTGAGAAGGAGTATAAAATGGGGACATGAGCAGTGTTATGGGAGTTCCCTGAGCGAGACGGTGCTGGCTCCTGCCTCCAAGGACCTGATCCCAAGGTGGACTGCAGCAGTAGAGGAAGCTCTCAAATACAGCATTTATTGATTGCATTTGGTGTGCAGAAGAGGACATACGTGCTAAAGGACAGAAAGATTAACGGGGACCTTGTCTCCAAGGTTCACAATCCAGTTGCGGGGAGAGGCTCAGCGTCCGTATTCTGATAGCGGGCAGCCTTTGGAGCCAGGCACAGCTAGCTCCAACCTTAGCTCAGCCGTTTGCTGTCAGAGTCTCCATGCCTCCATGTCTTCATATGAAAAGCAGGAGTAATAACATCTGTGTATCAAGGTGGTTGTGAAGACTAGAAATGGGGTATAAAAAGCACCTCAAACAGTGGCTGCCAGATAGTGTGCATAGGGACTACTTTTAATCATTCACAGTGTCCGAGATATGTCTATAACAAAATTACTGCAAGGTGACTTTATTTTCGCCAGATCTCCTTGTTCAAACACCTTGTCCTAATATCACGGATTTGCTTGTTTCCCCTGCACACAATCACGACCACTATCTCCTCCAAGCCTTGCCCTCCCTATATCACGGACCAGCTTCCATAGCACGTCTCTGAGCCCTCTCCGGCTCCCTTCGGTCTTCGAGGGGCCCTTGCCAGAGCAGACACACGTGGGTGCTGCACACTGTAGCCTGAACATCGAGTCTTCGATGGAAACTATGATAAATGTAGGGCTTCTGCCCTGGGTCTGCAGACTGCCTCCCTGCAGACAGCCAGCATGGTGGGAAGCACTCGGGATTCGGAGTCTGACAGAGCTGGGTTTGAATCCCGGGTTCTTGCTCACTGTGGGTACTTGGGCAAGTTACTGAGTCCTTTGAGCCTCGGTCTCCTTGTCTGTAGAAGGAGGACACCGATACCTAATGAAGTATTAATAGTTAAGATTATGTTTGCCTGGGTTTGAATCCCAGCTAGGCCAGCTATAACCCTGAGTGAGAAAACTGAGAGTTTTTTCATGTATAAAGTGGGGATATGAATAGTTGTTACGGGAGTTAAGTGATGATGTGTGAAGTGCTTAGCTCAGTGCTTGGCACACAGCATATAAGTTTTAGTTAATACCGGACTGAGCAGTATGTGCAGAGAACTCAGGCAGGATGGGGGATGGGCAGGGGGCTGGGCTCAGTTTCGGTTGGGGTGCAGGAAGGCAGACTGCCACTCTTCTCTGTCTCAGGTGCTATCGCACAACCTGTACACAGTCCTGCACATCCCCCATGACCCTGTGGCCCTGGAGGAGCACTTCCGAGATGATGACGACGGCCCCGTGTCCAGCCAGGGCTACATGCCCTACCTCAACAAGTACATCCTGGACAAGGTGGGGCCCAGCTTATGGGGGCACCTCTGACCTCTCCCTGCTTCCTCAGCCTGGCCGGCACCCTAACACCTTGCCACAGCAACTCTTCCCCCCAGTAAACTCCCACTCCTATGCGCTCTGTCCCTCTCTGCTCTCCCATCTCCACCCTCACATCCCAGCCACCTGTGTCCTCCTTGTCCCTCTCAACTCACCCTCAATGTCCCTCATCTCTGCCCTGTCTATCCTTCCCATAACCTTCCACCCCACCCTGCTCAGGCCACCTCTAGCTTCCATCTATAACCTTTACGAAGGGCTCTCCATTTCCCCCATAGTGTCCCCCCAGCTCCTCCCGCCTGTCACTGTCTGCCCAGGTTCTTCTTGGCTGTCAATTCTTTGCTGGGCTTCCCCACCTTTCTGCCCTGGGCTGAGGGTCTGGAGTTTCTCTGTTGTCAGGGGACTTCAGTAGGGGTGTGTGTGTTGAGGTGGTGAAGTGGTTGGAACCAGCTAGTTACCTGGTAATCGGCTCAGGGATTCCTTGAGTTAGAGCCTTGGACTTGGCAGGGCGGGAAGCAGGGGCGTAGACAACCCAGGACAGCCAGCTGGAGCCTAGTTGGGTGGTAGAGCAGGGACGGGCGGCTGACTGACTTGCAGGCCTGGGGCAGGTGGAGGAGGGGGCTTTTGTTAAAGAGCACTTTGATGAGCTGTGCTGGACCCTGACGGCCAAGAAGAACTATCGGGCAGATAGCAACGGGAACAGCATGCTCTCCAATCAGGATGCCTTCCGCCTCTGGTGCCTCTTCAACTTCCTGTCTGAGGACAAGTACCCTCTGATCATGGTTCCTGATGAGGTGAGGGTGATGGCAGCCCCAGGGACTGAGTCACTTGGGGCCAGGCCTCAGCGAAACCATGAAGGAGCCAAATCACCTTCTGTGCTTTCCCACATCCCCTTTCTTCACTGTCTCCCCGTGCTCATACCTGTCCTCACCCAGCTGTAGCCAGATGCCTAGAAGTGCCCATATCAGAGCAACTGCGCCTCCTTCCAGGAAAACTGAAATGATATTTCCATAAGGGTTCTGCTGGCACTCACAGTAGCAAAATGATCTGCAAATTCTGTTCCACAGAGGTGTAAATGTCTGACACATTACTGAGCATTTTAAAATGAGAAGATTTAAGATCAAATGGTGGGGTTTAGGCACTGCAGCACTCTAGGAGGGGTGCTTTATAAAAGGAAGGGAGACCTTCCTGAGAAAGGATGCTACTCTAGGTGGGCAACCAAGCCTGGTCCTGGTCCCAGATTTTCCCTTTCTGTCTTCTTTCTTCTGGAGAGCCAGGGCAGACTCAGCCCAGGGCCGAGAGAGAGGGCATCCTGGGACAAGAGGCCAGGAGTCCGGCCTCTACCTCCTAAATCTCGGGGAAGCCAGGGGCCACTTTCCTGTCTGCCTGCGCTCTCCTTCTTTCCCTGCTTCTCTCCCAGCCCATTCGGCCTTTAAACCCTTTAGTCCTCTTGGTGGCTCTCGAGGTGCCAGAGTGAACTTAGGCCTTTAAAGTGTACAGAGAGGGGGCCTCTGTGCTTGCAAGGAGTCCTAGCATGTCTAACTCTACTTAGCTTTCTCCTTGCTTCTGTTTGTGGGACAGGGAACCACCAGCTGAGGTCCAGTAGTCCCCAGAAAGTCCTAAAGAGAGTTTCCCAAGGAGCCCCTGGGGTGGGTGAGGGGATGTGGTTGCCCTTGTCAGATCCCTGCCAGTTAGGGCAAGTGGCCTCTCAGAGGCCAGGAGGCCACTTGCTTCTGTGATCAACATACAGTGAGAACACACTGCAGCAGGATGTACCCCAACCACCACTTCCGGTTCCTCTGTAACAGGTTTCCTGTCCCTGCCCTGCTTAACCCCACCCCAAATCCCCTTACCCTCCCACAAGGGAAGGATCCCCAGGGCTGGGGCTTGGAGGCTTGGACTGAGGACCTAAATGTGATTCGGGAGACCCAGATAGAGTTCTGGCTGCCCCCAACTTGCTGTGTGTGCCTTAGAGCAAGTCACTTCCCCCTTCGGGCCTTGGTTTTGTCATATGCAGAGTGAGGCTCTTGGACGGTAGATCCCTTGCACCCCCTTGACACTTTCTATGATCCACTGCCTCTGCCCAGCCCCCAGCTCTCAGCTCCCACCTTTACCCTGCCCTCAATTTAAGGCAGGAAGGAGTGGGACTGCAGGATGGGGAGGAGGAGAGAATTCCCAAGTTAGGGCTGGGGCTCCAGGATCCCCTCCTAAACCTCTACCCTGATCTCCACCAGCCTTTGGTCCTCTGGCCCCTCCAACCCTCTGTCCCTGGTCCCTCTGCCCAGGCTCTGGGAGCCAGATTGGAGCGCCCCCTGGTGTTGGTGCTGGCAACACTGCCTGCTGCAGTTACCAAGCCTTCCTTCACCCCCAGGTGGAATACCTGCTGAAGAAGGTGCTCAGCAGCATGAGCTTGGAGGTGAGCTTGGGTGAGCTGGAGGAGCTGCTGGCCCAAGAGGCCCAGGAGGCCCAGGCAGCCCAGACCTCTGGGGGCCTCAGCGTCTGGCAGTTCCTGGAGCTCTTCAACTCAGGCCGCTGTCTGCGGGGCGTGGGGCGGGACACCCTCAGCATGGCCATCCACGAGGTCTACCAGGAGCTCATCCAAGATGTCCTAAAGCAGGTCAGCCAGGCTGGGAACTAGGGGAGGAGCACAGGAGGGTTGAGGGGACACCGGTGTCGCCTCTGACTTTACTCTGGCCGCCAGGGCTACCTGTGGAAGCGAGGGCACCTGCGCCGGAACTGGGCGGAACGCTGGTTCCAGCTGCAGCCCAGCTGCCTCTGCTACTTTGGGAGCGAAGAGTGCAAGGAGAAAAGAGGCACTATCCCGCTGGACGCACACTGCTGTGTAGAGGTGAGGGGGCAGGGGAAGGGGTGGAGCACCCAGAGGGCCCCTGGGGTGACGGAAGACAAGGAGGTCAGAAGGTGAATGGAGAAAATCCACAGTGACACAATTTCTGCTTAGATTAGTGCAACCCAAATATATCTGGGTGCCTCAAGGCCATTCTCATCCAGGTCAGCACTTTAAAAATGCCAAAACTGCAATTCAAATCCCAAAGTCATTGGTGAATAATATGGATTTTGCTAAAGATTTCAGAGGAGATGGCTTATGTCCACACTATACAGCCAATTTTTCTAAACATTTTTTTTTTTTTTTTTTTTTTTGAGACAGAGTCTCACTTTGTTGCCCAGGCTAGAGTGAGTGCCATGGCACCTCGCTCACAGCAACCTCAATCTCCTGGGCTACAGCGATCCTCCTGCCTCAGCCTCCCGAGTAGCTGGGACTACAGGCATGCGCCACCATGCCCGGCCAATTTTTTTTTTTTTTTTTATATATATTTTTAGTTGGTCAATTAATTTCTTTCTATTTTTGGTAGAGACGGGGTCTCGCTCAGGCTGGTTTCGAACTCCTGACCTTGAGCTATCCGCCCGCCTCGGCCTCCCAAAGTGCTAGGATTACAGGCGTGAGCCACCACGCCCGGCTAAACATTCTTTTTAAAGGTCTTTCTCCTTTACTCAAATTTCTTTCCCTTTGGCAGCTCTATACCTCCCTATTCTCCATCCACACCCCTCTCCTCTCCCTCTTCCTCTCCCTCTTCCCTTGGCTCTGCTCATTATTATTTTAGAGGCTTAAACAACGTTTGAGATAGTAGTTAAAATATATATAAATGACAAGAAACTTGCCATTTTAACCATTTTAAGTGTACAATTCAGTGACATTAAACACAGTCACCAAAAAAATTTTATTTTTGAGACAGAGTCTCACTTGGTTGCCACGCTAGTGTGCAATGGCATCATCATAGCTCACGACAACCTCAAACTCCTGGGCTCAAACAATCCTCCTGCCTCAGCCTCCCAAGTAGCTGGTACTTCAGGCATGCACCACTGAACCTGGCTAATTTTTCCATTTTTTGTAGCGATAGGGTCTTGCTCAGGCTGGTCTTGAACTCCTGACCTCAAGCGATCTTCCTGCCTCAGCCTCCCAGAATGCGAGGATTACAGGTGTGAGCCACCATGCTCTGCCTTTAGCTCATTTTTTTAAATTGGATTATTTGGTTTTTTGCTATTCAGTTGTTTGAGCTCTTTATATATATTCTCGTTATTAATCCCTTGACAGATGGATAGTTTGCAAATATATTCCCCTATTTTATGGGTAGTCTCTTCACTTTGTTGATTGTTTCCTTTGCTGTGCAGAAGCTTTTTAGCTTGATGTGATCCCTAATGACTGTTTTTGCTTTGGTTGCTTGTGCTTTTGAGGTCTTACGTGAAATATCTCTGCCCAGATCAATGTACTGGAGTGTTTCCCCAATGTTTTCTTCTAGTAGTTTCATAGTTTCAGGTCTTAGATTTAAACTTTTAATTCATTTAGATTTGATTTTTGTATATCAGGAGAGCTAGGGGTCTAGTTTCATTCTTCTGCATATGGATTATCCAGTTTTCCCAGCATCATTTATTGAGGAGATTGTCCATTCTCCACTATATGTTCTTGGCCCCTTTTGTCAAAAATGAATTGGCTGTGGGCCGGTACAGTGGCTCACACTTGTAGCTCTAGCACTCTGGGAGGCTGAGGTGGGAGGGTCACTCAAGGTCAGGAGTTCAAGACCAGCCTGAGCAAGAGGGAGACACCATCTCTACTAAAAATAGAAAGAAATTAATTGGCCAACTAAAATATATACACATATATATAATTAGCCGGGCATGGTGGCGTGTGCCTATAGTCCCAGCTACTCGGGAGGCTGAGGCAGGAGGATCGCTTGAGCCTGGGAGTTTGAGGTTACTGTGAGCTAGGCTGATGCCACAGCACTCTAGCCCAGACAACAGAGTGAAACTCTGTCTCAAAAAAAAAAAAAAAAAGAGTTGGCTGTGGATTTATATCTGGGTTTTCTGTTCTGTTCCATTGGACTATGTGTCTGTTTTTATACCAGTACCATGATGATTTGGTTATTATAGCTTTGTAGCATTTTTAAGTCTAGTAATGTGATGCCTTCAGCTTTGTTCTTTTTGCACAGGATTGCTTTGGCTTTGGGATCTCTTGTGGTTCCATACAAAGTTTAGGATTTTTTTTTTCTATTTCTATGAAGAATGTCATTGGTATTTTGAGAGGGATTGCATTGAATCTGTAAATTGCTTTGGTAGTATTGTCATTTTTAACAATATTAATTCTTCCAATCCATGAGAATAGAATATGTTTCCATTTTTGTGTGTTTTCTTTAATTTCTTTCATCAGTATTTTATAGTTTTCTTTGTATAAATCTTCCACTTCTTTGGTTAAATTGCTTCCTAGGTATCTTATATTCTTTGCAGCTATGGTAAATGTGATTGCTTTCTTGATTCTTTTCTAAATTGTTTGCTGTTGGCGTATATAAATGCTACTGATTTTTGTATCGACCAGCTTTACTGAATTTATCAGTTCTAACAGTTTCTTGATGAAGTCTTAAGGTTTTCATAAGTATAAGATCATATCATTTGTGAACAAGGCTAATTTGACCTCTTCCTTTCCGATGTATATGCCCTTTATTCTTTCTCTTGTCTCATTGCTCTGGCCAGGGCTTCCAGTATGGTTGAATAAAAGTGGTGACAGTAATCCTAGCACTCTAGAAGGCCGAGGTGGGCAGATTGCTCGAGGTCAGGAGTTCGAAACCAGCCTGAGCAAGAGTGAGACCCCGTCTCTAATATAAATAGAAAGAAATTAATTGGCCAACTAATATATATAGAAAAAATTAGCCGGGCATGGTGGTGCATGCCTGTAGTCCCAGCTACTTGGGAGGCTGAGGCAGGAGGATTGCTTGAGCCCAGGAGTTTGAGGTTGCTGTGAGCTAGGCTGATGCCATGGCACTCACGTTAGCCTAGGCAACAAAGCAAGACTCTTGTCTCAAAAAAATAAAATAAAATAAAATAAAGTGGTGACAGTCGGCATCTTTGCCTTGTTCCAGATCTTAAAGGAAAGGCTTTCAATTTTTCCCCATTGAGTATGATGTTAGCTGTGGGATTGTCATATATGGCTTTTATTATTTTGAGGTATGGTCCTTCTATATCCAGTTTGTTGAGGGTTTTTGTCCTAAAGGGACACTGAATTTTTATCAAATGTTTTTTCAGCATCTATTGAAATGATCATATGGTTTTTGTTCTTGGTTCTATTAATGTGATATATTACATTTATTGATTTGCATATGTTGAACCATCCTTGCATGCCTGAGATGAATCCCACTTGATCATGGTGAATGAGCTACATTCACAATATTGTGTAACTATCACCACTATCTATTTCCAAAACTTTCTCATCACCCCAAATAGAAACTGTACCCACTAAGTAATAACTCCTCATTCTACCTTCTCCGCCCCACCCCCATCCCTGGTAAACTCTATTCTGCTTTCTATTTCTATGAATTTGCCTATTCTAGGTATCTTATATAAGTGGAATCATACAATATTTGGTTTTTTGTATCTGGCTTTTTTCACTTAGCACAATGTTTTAAAGTCTCATCTATTTGTAGAATGTATCAAAATTGCATTCTTTCATAAGGCCGAATAATATTCCATTGTATGGATATACTACATTTTGTCAATCCATCTGTTCATCTGTTGATGGACATTTGGGTTGTTTCCACCTTTTTGCTATTATGAATAATGCTGCTATGAACGTCCATGTACCAGTTTCCGTGTGGACATGTGTTTCTCTTGGGTACATACATACCTAGGAGTAGAACTGCTGGATCATATGGTAACTAACTTTTTGAGGAACCACCTAACTTTTACTCAGTGGCTATACCATTTTACATTCTCACTAGCCACATTTGAGGATTTCATTTCTCCACATCCTTGCCAACACTTATTTTACATTTTAAAAAATTATTACAGCCATCCTAGGCTCTGTCCATTTTTGTCACTTAACATGTTGCTGTGGAAAGAACACAATTTAGGCAGAAGTCTCAACTTCACCAGTAACAGGCAGTGTGAGGTGGACAAGGTACTGGACTTCTTGGAGCCTCAGTTTCTTCCTCTTTAAAGTGGAGTTAATAATGCCTGCCTGGCAAAGGTATAGGAGGAGAGAAGAAAATGATACATATGAGACACTAGTACAGACTCTAGAACATAAGAAGCTCATAGGTGGTAACTATTATTTTCCACAGAATAAGCTTAGTGGAGGCAGAGATTTGGTCTGTCAGAACACCTCAGTATTCCAAAGCCCTGGAACAATGAGTGGCACTCAGTAGGTACTCCAAAAATATATGTGGAATGAATGAATGAACTTTCTCAGCAAGCAAGGCTATATGGGAGTGAGTAGTCATGGACAGTGAGGACCCTGTCACTGGAAGTGTTCAAGCACAATCTATCTGCATAAACACTCATGTGGAGGCCAGGCGCAGTGCCTCATGCCTGTAATCCTAGCACTCTGGGAGGCCAAGGCGGGAGGATCGTTTGCGCTCAGGAGTTCGAGACCAGCATGAGCAAGAGCGAGACCCCATCTCTACTATAAATAGAAAGAAATTAGCCAAACAACTAAAAACAGAAAAAATTAGCCGGGCATGGTGGCGCATACCTGTAGTCCCAGCTACTCGGGAGGCTGAGGCAGGAGGATCGCTTGAGCCTAGGAGTTTGAGGTTGCTGTGAGCTAGGCTGACGCCACGGCACTCACTCTAGCCTGGGCAACAGACAGAGTGAGACTCTGTCTCAAAAAAAAAAAAAAAAAAAAGCAAAGGCTACAGCATTGCGGGACACAGGTACCCCATAACTAACCTTCCAAATCGGGCCGCACAGGCTCCTGGCAGAATGGGAGGAGTCCTCAGGCGAGATGGCCAGCAGGAGGGATGGGGGCTTACACTGCAGCACCGCTCGGGCAGGTGAGACCCTGACCCCTGTGAAGCCAGCCTGGCTGGGCCACCTGTCTCTCCCAGGTGCTGCCGGACCGCGACGGAAAGCGCTGCATGTTCTGCGTGAAGACGGCCACCCGCACGTATGAGATGAGCGCCTCGGACACGCGCCAGCGCCAGGAGTGGACGGCTGGTGAGCGCCCGCTGGGAGGCCTGGGTCTGGCTGGGCCTCCGGCGCCTCACCTGTGCAAAGGGGGTGACGGTCCTTCCCCCAGCGACCCGCCTGACCCGCCCCCGCTCCCGCAGCCATTCAGATGGCGATCCGGCTGCGGGCCGAGGGGAAGACGTCGCTGCACAAGGACCTGAAGCAGAAGCGGCGCGAGCAGCGCGAGCAGCGGGAGCGGCGCCGGGCGGCCAAGGAGGAGGAGCTGCTGCGCCTGCAGCAGCTGCAGGAGGAGAAGGAGCGGAAGCTGCAGGAGCTGGAGCTGCTGCAGGAGGCGCAGCGGCAGGCGAGCGGCTGCTGCAGGAGGAGAGCGGCGCCGCAGCCAGCACCGGGAGCTGCAGCAGGCGCTGGAGGGCCAGCTGCGCGCGGCAGCGGTGGGCGGCGGGGCTGCGGGGGGGCTGCGCGGCCGACAGTGGGGCGGCGGAGCCGGCGGGGCTGCGCGGGCGAGCAGGTGGCGGGCGGGGCGCGGGGCGGGCTCGCGCGGCGAGCAGGTGGGCGGGGCGGGGCTGCGGGGCGGGTGGCGGCCGCAGCAGTGAGCGGGCGGGCTGCCGGCAGAGGGCTAGCGCGGGCCGAGCAGGGGGCGGGCGGGGCTGCGGGGGGGACCTGCGCGCGCAAAGGGCGGGGGGCGCGGGCTCCGGGGGGCGAGCAGTGGGGGGCGGGCTGCGGGGGACTGGCGCGCGGCAGCAGGGGAGCGGCGGGGCGGGCGGCTCGCGGCGAGCAGGTGGGCGGGCGGGCTCTGCAGGCCGGGGTCTGCGCGGCCCGCAGGTGGGCGCCGGGGCGCCGGGCGGGGCTGCCGGGCGGACTGCGCGCGGCGGCGTGGCGGGCGGCCGCGCGGGGCGGGCTGCGCGGCCGCGCAGTGGGCGGGCGGGCGCGGCGCGGGCTGCCGGGCGGGACTGCGCGCGGCAGGCAGGTGGCGGGGCGGGGCTGCCGGGGCGGCGCGCGGCAGGCGGGGGCGGGCGGCTGCCGGGCGGGCTGGCGGCGCAGCAGGAGCGGCGGCGCTGCCGGGCGGGCTGCGCGGCGACAGGTGGGCGAGGCTCGGGGGCGGGGCTGCGCGGCCAGAACCCTGGCGTGCGGGAGGGATGCGGCGGCCCTGTGCTCAGCAAGGTTTATGCGCGAGACTGCGAGCGACGCTGAGCTGAGGGATAGCGTGTGGGGGGGGCAGTGGAGACCTGGGCTTGGACGATGAGGCCAAGGAGTCGCTAAAGAAAGTGCGATTGGGAATTTCTTTTTTTTTTTTACTATGAGCAGAGTTCTCTCTGTGCACCAGGCTACAGTGAGATGCTGGCGCACCTAGCTCACAGCACCCTCCAAATCCATAGCGGGCTCAACATTCCTGCTCCACTCATCCTCCAGTACGGACTACAGGCATGTGCCACTATGCCCAGCTGATTTTTCTATATATATTATTTGGCAATTATTTCTTCTATATCAGTAAGATACGGTCTCGCTCTTGCTCAGCTGGTTCGACTCTGACATCGAGCAATCGCCGCCTCAGCCTCCGACTAGCTGGGACTACAAGTGTGAGCCACCGCGCCCGCCCGTCCTTGATGGGGAATTATTAATAGTTTGGACCAAGGTTGGGCTAAACTGAGACTGAGTTTCCCATGAAACCAGCCTGGGGAAGGTAGGATGGGAGGTAGGCAGGACGCACGCGGAGGCGGACTACGTGTGCAGAGGCAATTAGATTTGGGATTTAAGAGATCTGGATCTGGAGTCCGAAACGCGTGGATGCAGCCCTGCCAGCTCTGCCTCTTAGGAGCCCTGTGATCTCGGCCACGTTACTTAGACTCGTCAGTAAAACGTTGATACGAATAGAACTTTGCTCGTAGAGGCAGGGTAGGGATTAATTAAGACAACACTTGTAAAGTGTTCAATAACTTTTAGTTGCAATGATTATAATCACATCCTTCCTAGCACCAGCCATAATTATAACATATTGTATCATTATATATAACAATTATTAAAGCTGGTGCTAGGAAGGAGGTGATATATACTATAAAATTAAAATATATTTTAATGTATTATTTAATTATAATGTAATATATGTTAATTATGTATTATACTTTACAATTATTATTCTGGCTGGTGTTAGGAAGGGAGTAACTGAGCCCCTGTGCCCCATGTAACAGCCGTTCACAGACCATTACCCGGCCCAGTCGGGCTCTCAGAAAGGGGTCAGATCAGGAACCCCTGACATGAAGGAGTTCCTAGGCCCTCGCCCCCAGGTAGCTCAGCTGACCAGCCCTGGGGGATGGCAACATACCTGCCCCCTCCCCCCCACGTCCCATCGACCTGGCTCTGCCCCAATAGGCGCGGGCCTCCATGCAGGCGGAGATGGAGCTGAAGAGGGAGGAGGCCGCCCGACAGCAGCAGCGCATCAGGGAGCTGGAGGAGATGCAGCAGCGGTTGCAGGAGGCCCTGCACCTGGAGGTGAAAGCGCGGCGGGATGAGGAGGCCGTGCGCCTCGCCCAGACCAGGTAGGCCCGAGGAACCCAGTAGGTTCTCCTGCCAATCCCCCACCCCACCCTCCCGCTCGCCGAGCACCTGCCGGGTGCCGCGGCACGGGAGACAGCGCAGTGCACGCCCGGCAGACTGCTGGAGGAGGAGGAGGAGAAGCTGAAGCAGCTGATGCGGCTGAAGGAGGAGCAGGAGCGCTACATCGAGCGCGCGCAGCAGGAGAAGGAAGAGCTGCAGCAGGAGATGGCGCAGCAGAGCCGCTCCCTGCAGCAGGCCCAGCAGCAGCTGGAGGAGGTGCGGCACAACCGGCAGAGGGCCGACGAGGACGTGGAGGTGAGGCCCGCGGGGACAGGACGGGACTGGTCAGGATGAGCCTGTCGAGGCGCGGGCTCGGAGCCAGGCTGCCCTCCCTCACACCCTGTTGTGTGACCTTGCGCAAATTGCCTAACCTCTCTAGTTGTTGGGCTTTTTTCTTTTTTCTTTTCCTTTTCTTTTTTTAGACAGGGTCTCACTCTGTTGCCCGGGCTAGAGTGCTATGGGGTCAGCCCAGCTCACAGCAACCTCAAACTCCTGGGCTCAAGCGATCCTCCTGCCTCAGCCTCCCGAGGAGCTGGGACCACAGGCATGTGCCACCATGCCCGGCTAATGTTTTCTATGTATTTTTAGTCGGCCAATTAATTTCTTTCTATTTTTTTTTTTGGTAGAGATGGGGTCTCGCTCTTGCTCAGGCTGGTTTCGAACTCCTGAGCGATCCTCTCGCTTCGGCCTCCCAGAGTTCTAGGATTACAGGCGTGAGCCACCGCGCCCGGCCCCTCTCTGAGTTTTTAAGTCTCATATCTGGGCAAGGAAACTGGTAATAGCATTGTTACGAAGATTGAACGAGATAATACATGATATTTGGTATGTAGTAAGTGCTGAAGCAATATTTACTGCTATTTTTGTTAACATTATTATTAATCTAGGTAAAACTTTCTCCTACTCTTCCAAGCCCCCTTTTTTAATTTTAATTTTTGAAAAAATTTTTTTGAAAAATTTAAAAAATATTAATCTGGGTTTTGGGTTGGTTGGTTGGTTGGTTTTGAGACAGAGTCTCTCTCTGTTGCCTGGCTACAGTGCAGTGGTGTCAGCCTAGCTCACTGTAATCTCAAACTCCTGGGCTCAAGTGATTCTCTTGCCTCAGCCTCCCAAGTAGCTGGAACAATAGACACTCCCTATAGTCTGGCTAATTTTTCTATTTTTAGTAGAGACGGGTCTTGCTCTTGTTCAGATTGGTCTCAAACTCCTGAGCTCAAGCAATCCTCCTGCCTTGGCCTCCCAGAGCACTAGGATTATAGGCATGAGCCACTTAGCCTGGTCAAAATTTTTGTTAATCATTTAAAAATAACAAAAACCCAATACATGTTGACATAAATAATTTTTTTGAAACATAACTATTTTTCTAAAACAAAAAATATTCATTAGTGAGAAGAATGGCATTGCTTTACCTTTTTGTAAATCTCTTTAATGTCTGATTTCATGGAAGACAGCTAGATCCTGCTATCTGCTCTGCATTCAGTATGTTACAATATCACTCATCAGATAGCCTCTGAAAAACTCTGTACACTCATGAAAGAATGAAAGTGACAAACATAAATGACATCTTAGTATTATAAAAATAGCTTTGACCTTGAGTACCCTTGAAAGGCTCTTGAGGAACGCCCCCCCAGACCACACTTTGAGAACCGGTGCTCTAGTCTGATCGCCTCATTTTACATAATAAGGACACTGGACATCAGAAATCCAAAAGCGGCCAGGTGTGGTGGTGGCTCACACCTGTAATCCTAGCACTCTGGGAGGCCGAGGCAGGCGGATCATTTGAGCTCAGGAGTTGGAAACCAGCCTGAGCAAGAGGGAGACCCCGTCTCTACTAAAAGTAGAAAGAAAGTAATTGGCCAACTAAAAATATATAGAAAAAAATTAGCCGGGCATAGTGGCGCATGCCTGTAGTCCCAGCTACTCAGGAGGCTGAGGCAGAAGGATTGCTTGAGTCCAGGAGTTTGAGGGTTGCTGTGAGCTAGGCTGACACCACGGCACTCCAGCCTGGGCAACTAGTGAGACTCTGTCTCAAAAATAAATAAATAAATAAAAATAAAAAAGAAATCCAAAATCACGTGGCCTGCTAATGGTATGATGCAGATTAGATGGTTTGTCTCACTGCTCTTGGCTTAGGTTCTCAATGAGCAACCTGGGAAATAGACCCTAATGGCCTGTCCTATTCCCTCTAGTTGCAAAGACTGACACAATATATTACCCTCACCCTAATTTTTTTGAATAAAAGAGATGAGGTAAATCAATAAGCACGATAAATGCTGCAGCATACTGTGTTTAAGTTTGAATTACAATATTTGAATTAGGGTTTGCATTTGAACTGAAATGCTAAGGCAAGTTCTATTGTCCCTACTCTATGCAAGGTGGTAATGACAAACTAACCGCACAGTAAATATCATAGATGAATATGGAAATCAGATTAACCGCCATGTCACTATTTATCTCATATATTCTCTGTCTGAAATACAATTGAATGACATTTCAGAAAAATATTCTCAATTACTGGCTGAAAGAGTGGTGGGTATATTAAGAGACTGCAAATAAATTGGCAATTGTAAGGAACATTTTAGATAAAATGGAATTGTTCTTAACAGTGGACAATTTTCATTCCCTAACTAGACTTCATTTTTATCTTAAAAAATCAAGAAATGTTCTTGGTCACCTAGAGATGATTTCCTTTGTATCCTACCAGATGGATCAAATCTTCTTTAAATGGATCATAGCCTCGTTCCTTTAAACAACATAGTACCCAGAATAGCTGGTCTAGTGGAAAACCTTCTTCCTAAGGAACTCACTCCCAACTTTCATTTTTTTCAGCCCCTACATTCTTTGGTTCTGAATCATGAATCACATCCACCCCTTCTTTCATTAACATAGTGACATAATTAATAGTAATTCTCTTTCTCAACAAAAGAATTCACAACCGAGGCAAAGCTAACATTTTTCAGGTGAAGAGCTGCTTCTTCCCAGATTTCCCTTTGAGAACATTCTCCCCAGCTCTCACTGAACTCCAAATGATCCCCAGAAAGTTGGAAACTGCTGGCTCCAAATGACCCTTTCTTCTTGCCCAGGAGGACACAAGGATGCCTGCCTCCGGCCACCACCACTGCTATTCCAACTCCCGGCCATTGCCCCACCACCGCTCTGCGCTGGCTGTCAAAGCACATGGGAGGATATATATATATATATATTCAGAGACAGGGTCTCACTCTGTTGCCCAGGCTGAAGTGCATTCATAGCTCACTGCGTCTTGAACTCCTGGGCTTAAGTGATCCTCCTGCCTCAGCCTCCCAAGTAGCTGGGACTACAGGTGTGGGCCACCACACCTGACTCAATCCCCTATCTTGCTATCCCTTTACTTTCACTCTACTCCTTGGAGCCTGAATCATAGAAGAGGGTTTTTCTTTTTCATTTTTGATGTTTTATTTGTATTAATATTGATAATTTTATTTTGCTTTGTTGGCTTATGTAGTCATTGTAAAAAATTCAAACACAGGCCAGACACGGTGGCTCACACCTGTAATCCTAGCACTCTGGGAGGCCGAGACGGGCGGATGGCTCCAGGTCAGGAGTTTGAAACCAGCCTGAGCGAGATCCTGTCTCTACTAAAAAAAATTGAAAGAAACTAATTGACCAACTAAAAATATATATACAAAAAATTAGCCTGGCATGGTGGCACATGCCTGTAGTCCCAGCTACTTGGGAGGCTGAGGCAGGAAGAATCGCTTGAACAGAGATTGAGGTGCTGTTGAGCTAGCTATGCCTGGCACTCACCAACATAATCTCAAAAAAAAACAATATAACATGAGGAAAGTTCCTCTACAATCCCCACACCAAGACTAATCACTCGAACATTGCAGATTTATATGTCTTGGAAAGAGCTGTTGTCCAGCGGTTTAGAGCTCAATGTATGTTTCTGGGCAACTCATTTAACCTCTTTTGAACTTGTTTGTTGGTTTTTTTTGTTTTTTTTTATAGACAGAGTCCTCACTTAGGTGCAGCGAGTGAAGTGCTGTGCATCAGCCTAGCGCACAGCAACCTCAAATCTGGGCTCAAGCAATCCTCCTTGCCTCAGCCTCCTGAGTAGCTGGGACTACAGCACAGCACACCATGCCCGCTAATTTTTTCTATATATTTTTTAGTGCCATTATTTCTTTCATTTAGTAGAGATGGGGTCTCGCTCTTGCTCAGACTGATTTTGAACTCCTGACCTTTAGCAATCTTCCCGCCTTGGCCTCCCAGAGAGCTAGGATTACAGGCGTGAGCCACCGCGCCTGGCCTTGTTTGTTGTTAATTTCTGCTCTGTAAGTTAAATAAGATAATAAATATGCTTAACACATCTTAGCTGCTCAATAAATAGAAACTATCATTATGATTTTTTTTACCGTTTGGGGGTCCACAAGTCCCCTAAAATTATTGGAGGTAAATTCTGTTCACCTATATAAGTCTTTAGGAACATACATGGATTTTTCTGAGGAACTGATCAGTAGCCTTGCTCAGATTTTAAGGGGTCTGTGATTCTGAAAAAAATCAAGACCCCCTGCCATAACTGGTGGTTCTGACCCACTCCCCCGGCCCTGCCCCCACAGGCTGCCCAGCGGAAGTTGCGCCAGGCCAGCACCAATGTGAAACACTGGAACGTCCAGATGAACCGACTCATGCATCCGATTGAGCCTGGGGGTGAGAAGGGGTAGACTCTGGAGCTTTCTCTGGAGTTGGGAGGGAGAAGGGAGGGAGCAAGGGACACCTCCAGGTCTCCAGGGCCAGCACAGGTAGGACTGAAAGTCAGTAGTTCTCTCCCCAAGGGCTGAGGCAAGGCCCCTTATCTCTCCTCCTCCCTGCACAACTTCCTCCTCACTTCCTGCGTTCTCTCTGCCAGATAAGCGTCCCACCACCAGCAGCTCCTTCACAGGCTTCCAGCCCCCTCTGCTTGCCCGCCGTGACTCCTCCCTAAAGCGCCTGACCCGCTGGGGGTCCCAGGGCAGCAGGACCTCCTCGCCCACCGGCAGTGAGCAGCAGAAGTCCCTCAATGGAGGGGATGAGGCTCCAGTCCTGGCTTCCACCCCTCAGGAAGATAAACTGGATCCAGCACCAGAAAATTAGCCTCTCCTAGCCCCTTGTTCCTCCCAATGTTGTGTCCACCAGGACCTAGCCACAGCTGGCCTGTGGGTGACACCAGCCCTGCTAGGAGAGGGCGCTGAGGTCCTGCTGCCAGGGGCCCGGGCCCTCCAAACATAACACAGTCCAGGATGGAACCTCATTCATCTTTCACACCAGCCCCAAGCCCCAGACTGTGGAGGCTGGCTGGGATGTTGATCCTCGAGAACTTGGCCCCTTGCTTTAGCCCAAAGGACCTGATGACTTGGGCTGGGAAAGAGAGTAAGCAAACAAGCCAGGGGCCTCCTGCCTCCAGGCTGCCACCAGATTGTGGAGGCACATTTCCAAATAAAAACTGCTGTTGGAATGAACTGTTGGCTCAGGTCTGTCCATCTCTCCTGCCCTTGGGTCCAGTTATGGGTTCCAAGGCAGGAAGGGATACTGGCGTGGTTAGGAATGCAGACCCTGGAGCTAGACTGCCTGGCTTCTAAGCCTGGCCCTGCTGCTTACTGACTGATTGCCTTTGGTCAAGTTTCTTCCCCTCTGTGTGTTTTAGTTCCTATGTTGGCAAAATAGAGATAATAACTGTATCTCCTTTATAGGGTTATGTGAGGATTGAGTGTTTGGCACATGAGTGAGCACTGCTATAATCAATCAAGAGTGGTTTTTTCTTTTCTTTTTTCTTTTTTTTTTTCCAGTTGGCCAATTAATTTCTTTCTATTTTTTAGTAGAGGTGGAGTCTCGCTCTTGATCAGGCTGGTTTTAAACTCCTGACCTTGAGCACTCCACCCACCTTGGCCTCCCAGAGTGCTAGGATTACAGGCATGAGCCACCATGCCTGGCCCAAGAGTGTTTTTTGAGCATCTACTCTAGGCCTTGCAATTTCCCAGGTTATTTAATTCTCATGAGAATCCTAAGAGCTGAATATTTCTATTGTCATTTTTTTTTGAGACAGAGTCTCACTCTGTTGCCCGGGCTAGAGTGCTGTGGCATCAGCCTACCTCACAGCAACCTCAAACTCTTGGGCTCAAGCAATCCTCCTGCCTCAGCCTCCCAAGTAGCTGGGACTACAGCCATGTGCCACTATGCCCAGCCAATTTTTTCTATATATTTTTAGTTGGCCAATTAATTTATTTCTATTTTTCGTAGAGATGGGGTCTCGCTCTTGCTCAGGCTGGTCTCGAACTCCTTATTTCGAGTGATCCTCCCGCCTCAGCCTCCCAGAGTGCCAGGATTACAGGCGTGAGCCACCGCACCCAGCCTCTATTGTCATTTTACAGATGGACAAATTAAGGCTCAGGGAGATTAGGTAACTTGTTCATAGCCTTTCAAACTTGCTTTTCTCCCCGTGTTCTCTGCCTCACTGACCTTGTTACTCAAGGCAGACATCTGAGAACCTAGGACGATTCGCTTCCCCTCTCTCACCCCCCTCATCTAAACCCATCATCAAATCCAGTAGATTCTCCTTCATACTCTCTTATCTGTCCCTCCTTTTCCAACCCCATGGCTACTGCCGTGGTTGAGGCCTGTGTATCTTCTACCTGGGTGTTAACCTTTGACTCTTTCGTCAGGCCCTATATCTAATCAATCACCAAATCCAGTCAATTGGCCTTTCTTGCTTACTCTCAAATCCACACCTTGGGGCTGTGTCTCATGGCCACTGCCTTATACTGGCCCTTGTCACCTCCCAACTAGATAAGAGCAGTAGCGGGTCTCCTAGCTGTGCCACCTGGATGGAATTTCTAAAATGCAGATTTGTCTTCAACCCTTCCCAATTTCCAGTCCCTCACTGGTATCCTAGAGTTTTGTTGTTGTAGTTGTTGTTTTTAGAGACAGGGTCTTGTTCTATTGATGAGGCTGGAGTGCAGTGACGTGATTATAGCTCACTGCAGCCTCAAACTCCTGGGCTCAAGGGATCCTCCCACCTCAGCCTCCCAGGTAGCTGGGACTATAGGTGTGCACTGCCATGCCTGGCTAATTTTTAAATTTTTTGTGGAGATAGGATCTGTCTATGTTGCCCAGGCTGGTCTGGAATTTCTGGCCTCAAGTGATCCTCCACGCTTAGCTTCCCAAAGTGCTGGGATTACAGGCGTGAGCCACCGCACCCAGCCCTATCCCAGAGTTTTGACCCTGGCTCACAGACAAGTTCACATTACCATATGTGTCAGATGTGATCGATGATGATCTGGCCTAGGAGAGCTTACTCTGCCTCTGCCTCCTAGATCTACTTGCAGCTCCCTTGTTTTCATTCCTGTAAGCCTCACACCGGCCATGCTTTCCACTGTACTTCATGTAACAGCCTCCGTAACTAAATGCCTGAGTGCCTTAAGGACACCTATGTCCCCAAAGCCTAGCACAGTGCTTGGCTCTTAGAAGACATTCAACAAATATTTGTTGAATGAATATATGCATGAATAAATTCTGAAGTGAACAACTGAGTGTCACATGGCTAAAAAGTGCTGGAGCAGCTAAGATTCAAACCCAAGCCCATTCATTCATTCAACAAATGTTTATTAAGCTTTTAATATATGCCAGGTATTGTGCAAAGTGCTGGCTGTATGGTACAAAACAAAAACAGAGACCCTGCCCTCCTGAAGCTCATGTGCTATCTGATATCACAGTTCATGTCTTTTGCAAGAATACCAAACTCTGTTGCAAGGAACTTCATTACAATCTATTTAAAGTGCCATGAAACAAAGCTACTGATATAACAAGATGCAGATTTCAGGGATTGGATGTGAAGTTCAAACTCTAAGTGCTACAGGAATTCAGAGAAAAGGGAAGCTTTAGGTAGAAGCCAGGATTTGAGATAGCCCTTAATTTTTCATAGATAAGAAAGGACAGTAGGAAAACATGGGAACAATATACATAGAAGGAAATATGACACATTTACGGGCACAAGAAGTCTGGATTCTGCATATTGGATGGAAGGATTAATGGTCTTCTAATTGGAGTGGGGTATAAAAGGATACAAGAAGTTTTAAGAAAATTAATTTGCAGATTCTCAACTCCCAAGTGTGCTCTTTACCAAAACTGCTTTCTTCTTTCACCATTTCACCTTCCCTACTTTCAAAAAGAAGATTCAGGCAGGGCAGTGCTGACCCATCCCCACCCCCACCCCCCTCACCCCCCCACCCCATCTCTACTATAAATAGAAAGAAAATTAGGCCAGGCGTGGTGGCTCACGCTTGTAATCCTAGCACTCTGGGAGGCCGAGGCGGGCGGATTGCTCAAGATCAGGAGTTCAAAACCAGCCTGAGCGAGACCCTGTCTCTACTATAAAAATAGAAAGAAATTAATTGGCCAACTAATATATATAGAAAAAATTAGCCGGGCATGGTGGCGCATGCCTGTAGTCCCAGCTACTCGGGAGGCTGAGGCAGGAGGATTCCTTGAGCCAGGAGTTTGAGGTTGCTGTGAGCTAGGCTGACGCCATGGCACTTACTCTAGCCTGGGCAACAAAGCGAGACTCTGTCTCAAAAAAATATATATATGTGAGAGAAGAATGTTAATGAATTTCCATTTAGTTCTATAATGTCAAGAATTTAAGAATTAAGAAAATGGATTGGCTAAAAAATGCTTTATATTTGAAAAAGCTTGGAATTACTATCTTTAAAAATGTGCGAGGGGCTGCATAGTTCTTATATATTCTTTTAGGACTAAAGGGGCAAAAGATTTTGAAGACCACTATGATGGAGGACCCATGACTAGAAAGGTAGAGTGAGATATGATTATAGAGATTCTTAGAAGCTAGGCAGATAATGATGAATGAATTTTTATTTTATTATTATTATTTTCATGAGCAAAAGTTTTTTTGTTGTTTTTTTTTGAGACAGAGTCTAGCTTTGTTGCCTAGGCTAGAGTGAGTGCCGTGGCGTCAGCCTAGCTCACAGCAACCTCAAACTCCTGGGCTCAAGCAATCCTCCTGTCTCAGCCTCCCGAGTAGCTGAGACTACAGGCATGCGCCACCATGCCCGGCTAATTTTTTCTATATATATTAGTTGGCCAATTAATTTCTTTCTATTTATAGTAGAGGCGGGGCCTCACTCTTGTTCAGGCTGGTTTCGAACTTCTGACCTTGAGCAATCCGTCCGCCTTGGCCTCCCAGAGAGCTAGGATTATAGGCGTGAGCCACTGCGCCCGGCCGAGCCAAAGTTTTATTTGTTCATTTCTTGCATTTGAAGTACTCTTCGATGACATCCTTGGCCTGAGATTCTTCGCCATAGTCCTTACTACTACACAACTGCAACCAACCATGTTACGGGGTTACCCTTCTCTGTCAATTTTACAAAAGTCTACCTATTTCCCTAGTTTCTTATTGTCATCAACCTTCATTAGGTTGACTTGGTATCCAGCACAAAGGGCTTTCACCCACTTGATATACATAGGCTCATCACAGTTGGAGGCAAGCCCACAAAAATGGGATTTGGCAGCTTTGCAAATTCCACGGGCAAGGCCACCATGGATGAGGGTGATCTTCAGCACCTCTTGTAAGGCAGTATCAATGTCCATTACACCCACCTCCAGCAGCAATGCCTTCCTGGACCGTGGCGATGGGTTGTGGGTGAAGCTGAATCTTGAACTCACCAAGCTTTTGCCTCTGCGTGATTCAGTGGCAGCAGGGAAAGAGCTTTTATTATATTTTTAATGAACTAGGCAACACCTTATTCTATAAAATAGAATGAACGTTCCTTTAATTTTATTTCAAGAGATGGGGTCTCGCTATGTTGCCCAAACTGGTCTTTTTTTTTTTATGGTTTATTTTATTATTATTATTTTAGCGTATTATGGGGGTACAAGTGTTAAGGTTACATATATTGGCTGGGCGCGGTGGCTCACGCCTGTAATCCTAGCACTCTGGGAGGCCGAGGCAGGCGGATTGCTTGAGGTCAGGAGTTCGAAGCCAGCCTGAGCAAGAGCCAGACCCCGTCTCTACTATAAATAGAAAGAAATTAATTGGCCAACTAATATATATACAAAAAATTAGGCCGGACATTGTTGGCGCGATGCTGTAGTCCCAGCTAACTCGGGAGGCTGAAGGCATAGGATCTGGCTGAGCCCAGGAGTTTGAGGTGCTGTGATGCTAGGCTGACGCATGGGCACTTATACTAGCTTGGGGCACAAAGCAAGGATCTCTGGTCTCAAAAAAAAAAAAAAGTTTATATATATTGCTCATGCCCCCCTCCCTCCAAGCTGGTCTTGAACTCCTGGCCCCAAGTGATCCTCCTGTCTCAGCCTTCTTAGTCACTGGGATTATAGACATGAGCCACCATGTCCAGCTGTAAGTGTTCAGACTTGAGGTGGCAAGCCAACTTTGAGCCTCAGTTTTCTCATCTGTAAATGGGGTTCATTCCAGACTTTTGAATGTTCT